TACTACTTCGTAACTTCAAACAATATCTGCTTTCCAATTTACCTAAGCAACCTCTGTGAAAGGGTTGTTCAACCAAAAACAGGGTCATGACCCCAGGTTGAGAGCCGCTGACCTAAAGCCTCTGAGTCATAAACTGAGAAATGTATTATAATTTTCAACTTGTTAGGAAACTGAACAAATTATAAAGTGTTATTCTCAAATATAGATATTCACTGATCTTGTGGCTACGAAACCACTGGGGTAAAGTTTTGTCTTTTGTTTGTAAAATCTAAATTCCTTTTTTCCTACTGATTATATACAGTATATTAAACAAAACACATCATCAGATTCAAAATGTAAATTCACTCTTCTTTAAAAAATATTTACCTTTGTAGTGATTAGAAATATATTAAATTCTCAATTGCCTTTGTTTTCCACCACCCTCTCTGCTACTTTTGTAAAAGGAAATTAATAATGCGAGCAAAGTCGGCACTCTTCCGAATACCGGTCCCAAATTATTCTCAGCGAAAAACATCCATTTGAGAGCCTCAAGAGGTTATGTAGTAAAAATTTAGGCCATCATCATCAGCTATCACTTCTACCGTTTTTGCTCGATGAATAGCAAATTTTTAGACGTGAGCTAAGCGCCGTGGGGAGGAGCAGTTTTTGATCCAGTGTTTCAGAGCCGTGGGGAGGAGCAGTTTTTGATCCAGTGTTTCAGAGCCGTGGGGAGGAGCAGTTTTTGATCCAGTGTTTCAGAGACGTGGGGAGGAGCAGTTTTTGATCCAGTGTTTATGAGTCGTGGGGATGAGCAGTTTTTGATCCAGTGTTTCAGAGCCGTGGGGAGGAGTAGTTTTCGATGCATTAAATTGCAGTGGGGAGTAGTAGTTACATTGTTCACATTACCCTCTCTTCCCTTGTGGGTTCCAGGCCCACATGTTTGAGGGGACAAAAGAATGGATCCACTGCCACCTAAAAAGCATGTTGTAAAAGGCGACTAATTATGACTGTGCTGAAATCGGATGTATTGGGACGAAAGGCGCATATATCGCAGCCTAGCTGTAAACCACAACATAACGTGCTAACGGCAATTTTAAGAGGGTTAAAAAAAGTATTATCACCCGGCAGACTCAAGAGTTTGGTTCAAATGAAATTATATAATAACACGAAAAATAGTTCGTAGTGTTCCTATTCCATAGTTCTAAATATATGACTTCTTGAGGCCCTGAATAAGATTTTGTTAACAGTGAATAATTTGGGACTGGTATTCGGAAGAGTGCCACAAACCGCAAAGTCTGTCAAAATAACATGGGCCTGAAAAAGTTATGAGAATCATAATGAAGCAAATTTTAACAATTTCATCCATTTATATTCCACTCAGCTGAGAGAGAAAAAAGTTCAACATCGGCACTAATGTGAAAATGCATATTGCCGGCTGTTCTTCTTCGGCCGTCAATGTTTACTCTCGGGTAGCTTTACTACTATCTGGTAGTTGGTACCATCATAGAACGGTGTCACGCTTCGCCGACTTGCAGTAGTTTAATTAAATTATGGTTCTTGCTTTAATAAAACAACGTAGCGATTAACAAATTATCGCCATCACTGATATTTGCCGTCAACGAACAGAAAAAATGTTATAGTTCTATATTTACCATATTTACCAGCATAAAAAGATTTCCACAACCGTTAAGTATCGACCATGTTTCTGAGACTGACAATCAGTGTTGCCACTTTTCTTTGACAAAAAATATCCAAAACGGTGTCAAAAAATATCTAAAAAGATCTAAATCTGCGTGGAAAAGATCTAGAAAAAATATCCAAATTGAAAAAGTCAAAAATTACATAGCTTTTGTTATGACTTACCCTACATAATCATGTCCTCACCTTCACTGATGTCTACCCAACAAGATCAACAGGATAAACTTAGCTTGGATAATGAAGTTGAAGCTTCAGATCCAAAATGACCCTGGTATGCTTTAGCTGTTCAAATTTCTTTATAAGTGGAACAGTAGGCTTATTTCTCTAGTCCCATTAGGCGGAATTGTAATGGCACGATAGCATTTAAGAGGCAAATGATTTGGAAAACCAGTAAAGTGTTTCAGCAAAAAGGTATTCCAAATTGTTTGGTAAATATTTAGATGAAGCATGTGATAATGCTAGCTGCAATGAATGACGCATATATTTTATAAGTATTAACAATGGGTTAGCTTCCTTCAACTTGGCATAAACGCCATTGTTTATACCAACCATCACTGAGGCATTATCAGTACCAATTACAGCCAAATTCTTCAAGCCTAACTGTTTGCTGATTAAAAGGTCCTTCAGTTCCTAAACTATACTTTCTACATCACACTTTTCAAATTAAACTAATCCGAGATTTTTTACAAATCGATCAAATGGTCACAGTTTGAAATTGTGCAGTGACAAATTAAAAACATTCCGACTGATACTTAAACTTTTGATGATTCATTTATCAGTATAGTTCTGAAAACAGATGTCAGCGGTGTAATATCTTTAAATGAAACTGCAGTTTTATGCTTTTTTTAGTCTCTGCATGACTCTTTGAGTTTTGTAATGTCGCTTTAATTTCACACTTGCAGTACTTACAACAAGCTTTGGTTATATACCCAGTTTTTAATTTTGTCATCATGCAACCACTCTTTCCAAATTTTTTGCTCATACTTTACTTTTGGCATGTTGAAAGGTTTTTTTCAAAGTGAAAGCCACATAAGAAATTGAGCAATTATTTTTTTTTAAATCACATGAAAAAGAAACGCAAAGTCAGCACAGTGCGGATTCGGTTGAAACAAAGTTAGTATGATTTACGCGCGTTTTTATTAATCAGTACCGGGGCTGCCAGATATTTATTTTACACAGTAATTATTAAATTGACAATGAAAGAAAAAAATCTATAGAATATCTAACTCCATATGAAAAGTGTCTAGAAAAATATTTACGATCTAAACGTCAAAAACAGTATCTAAATGCAATGAAAAAGATCTAAATTTGGATATAAAAGATCCAAAGTGGCAACACTGTTGACAATTCAGCACTGGCTAAAAGTGGCTATATTCGGCTATAACTGAGCCACAAAAGTCCGGGCTCACAAACAGCGGGCCAAGTTGATGTCCAGAACGCTCCCAATTGTTGATGCAGAAGTGAAAGCACTGGTGGTGAAGGAATACGCATCGCCGGAACATTATATATATACACACAGACAGTTCAGTGATTCACCAGAAGTGATTTTAATCTGGTAGTCTTAGTTTCAGCTTCATAGCAAACTGGTCACCCCATCTTCGCTCCGCCCCTGTGCCAACGAAAAACACACAGAATGTTTATCACAGTCCCTTGTGGAAAGATTGACAGACTGCTGTCTCGGCATATCTAGCATATACTCACATTAAAGCATACGGTAGCCATCCGAAGTGCTAACACAAACAGTCCGACATTAGAAATGCAGTTCATTACTGATGGAAGCAGAAGTCACCAACAGATCAGCAGTTTCCCACGCGAGCAATTTTAATCACATACGGGCACCACCAACATTGCACGACAGGCATCGCGCCACTTTCTGAATCTACAATTCATACCACCTCGTTGGTCACAGTTGAAAAAACATTCCTCACAGTGTCACGCCATGCATTCAGCTCAGAAGCTGGGCGACGAAACTGTGTGCAGTCTACAAATGGATCAAAAATGCACCGGCCACCGTCCGGCAGAAGCAAAAATTTGCCTCTGCTTCGAACAGTGCCCCTACCTAGCGTCCATTCTGACCGGAAGCCTTTGCTTCTACCGCAAGCAGCATGACAATGGAGATCATGGCTGTGACGAAGGCCCTAGAATGGCTGAAAACTCAGGAATTCACCAATACATGTTTGCTCAGAGACTCAGCGAGCATACCCTAGAAGATCAGTGGCTCCATCTGATACAGCACGCAGCGTTTTGCAAAATTGCCTTCATTTTGTCCCAGGTATGCTGGCGTGAAAAGCAATGAGAGAGCAGACGCGCTGACTGACAGTGCGACTATCTGGAATGGACCATCTGTGGACAGGAGAGACTCATTGCCATACGAGAGACTAAACGCTGTGAAGCTTTCACTTTCGTGGAAACTGATTTTTTTTGTTTCAAGGAATAGACTGCATTCCATTGATGTACCAACTGGAGCTCCGAAACAGGAAAACCATGTGAAAGCCACCGGTCGTTACAGAAACCAGAACAAAATAGGAGTTGTTAGCCTAAAAACATTTGGAGACATACTTAAAAGGAGATAGGAGCTTTTATGGCTATGTCCGATGTGCTTTAAATGAACAATGATGTCCAGAACTAGACACGACACAGACTTGTTATAGGATTAGACACAATGAGTAGTGCTTGTTAAGTTTGACTCCTCTGGAAAGGGCATTTTTGGCATTTGTTTCTGCCAGACTTGTCACGTATAATAAATAATGTGTAGTTTGTAATGATGTTGGCTGTAACGAGATTGCAGTGTTTCATTTCCTTTACAAGCGACATCGATCTGCGTCTGTTTTCATACCCCCCCCCTCTCTGTCTTTCTCTGATTGTATCTAGTGTCTGTCATGCCTCTCTTTGACATTTGCTGTGACAGCTGAGTACAGTTAAAAACCTACATCGCAGTACTCAGTAAATATCCATAAGTGTCCCGCCTCCACCTTCAGAAGCCATTCCAATGTTAGAGCACTGGTAAACTGATGGTTGAATTTCAGCGGAGATAAAAACAATTATGGACATGTCCTGAGTATAATCTGTTATGAAACACCTGTGGAAATGCCCGCAGTGCGGTGATACCAAAAAAAAAAATTCTTCATATGAAAAACAGAACCGAATGCATTTAAAAGATAATGGACGTTAAAGGTTGAAATATACAAATTCCGACGTGAAATGTTACAAGGGAGACAATTGCTGTAAGTGACTGCGAGAGTGGTCTCCTCTGACATTTGGTAAACTTCAACTAGACTCCTGGCTTGGGTCGACTGAAGATATCATCATAATAATCATAATCTATGGGCAGATACCGATCAGAAGACAGCGATGATGAGCACTCGCGCAAGTCCAAGAAAAGGAAAAAGAGAAGATCCAGGTACATAGTTTATTCTGATCAACATCATGGTGATCATCATCAGGCTGTACTCAGTACTGACTGTTGTATTTTATTTACTGTCTGAACACTAGTCAGAGTACTACAGTAGTACTACTAATTAGAATAGTATCATGACGTGTGTGAATAACTCCGTTAAAACTGTTTAAAAACGGCGTTTCAACCTCTATGCAGTTGTAAGTTGTACTAGTACTTGTTTTAGTTTAAGGTGTGTTGATAGTGAAGTTTGGCTATCGCCGCTATCCTCCGAATAACGTGGATACTTGAGTCTAATTTTTTAAAATTCACTCTACACCAATAAAACCAGCACAGTTAGATAGCTGTAAACAACCTCTTTCCAACCCAACGGTACCTCATTTAGGCTTGTATGCCATTTCTGAGCTGAGATATGCAGGTTTTTGTGGAGATGAGATGTCAAAAACAGCTGTTGAAAACTTGCGTCCCAGAAACAAGAATTTTCTCTGCGCAACCAAACTGCACACTTCTGTTTTGGCTTTCTTTACATTGGACAAGATGGCAGACAATTTTTCTCAGACACAGCCACATAATACCGATTGCCTGAAAAATGCCGCTACGCGCGGCATGGATGGGGTTAAACTAGATGGCTGGGACCCACAAGCAGCAGCTTCCTCATCTCCTGCAGCTTCTCCTGCAACTCCTGCATCTAGTTTAGCCCCAATCCACGCAGCGTGTAAATTGCGCACTTCCGGCGACTTAAATTGTGCACTACCGGTGACTTTCGCCACCGCTGAGAGTATCCCCCACGCCGCCTGAGCCAGAGTCTCCTGTGTGGGGGAGAGAGGAAGTGTGTGTGAGAGAGATGAAGTATTTGCTAGCTGCAACTTTACATTGAACTAGAATCATTGCCAGTCTCCTGTGTGGGGGAAAGAGGAAGTGTGTGTGAGAGAGATGAAGTATGTGCTAGCTGCAACTAAACTTTTTACTAGAATCAATGCCAAACTCTCCTGTGTGAGGGAGAGGGAGTGTGTGTGAGAGAGATGAAGTATGTGCTAGATGTGTGTGAGAGAGATGAAGTATGTGCTAGATGTGTGTGAGAGAGATGAAGTATGTGCTAGCTGCAACTAAACTTTTTACTAGAATCAATGCCAAACTCTCCTGTGTGAGGGAGAGGGAGTGTGTGTGAGAGAGATAAAGTATGTGCTAGAGGTGTGTGAGAGAGATGAAGTATGTTCTAGCTGCAACTTTACATTCCTACTAGAATCAATGCCAAACTCCCCTGTGTGAGGGAGAGGGAGTGTGTGTGAGAGAGATGAAGTATGTGTGAGAGAGATGAAGTATGTGCTAGATGTGTGTGAGAGAGATGAAGTATGTGCTAGCTGCAACTTTATATTCTACTAGAATCAATGCCAAACTCTCCTGTGTGAGGGAGAGGGAGTGTGTGAGAGAGATGAAGTATGTGCTAGATGTGTGTGAGAGAGATGAAGTATGTGCTAGATGTGTGTGAGAGAGATGAAGTATGTGCTAGATGTGTGTGAGAGAGATGAAGTGTGTGAGAGAGATGAAGTATGTGCTAGATGTGTGTGAGAGAGATGAAGTATGTGCTAGCTGCAACTAAACTTTTTACTAGAATCAATGCCAAACTCTCCTGTGTGAGGGAAAGGGAGTGTGTGTGAGAGAGATGAAGTATGTGCTAGCTGCAACATTACATTCCTACTAGAATCAATGCCAAACTCTCCTGTGTGGGTTCTGAGGCCACATTTTGGAGGGAACATAAACAGACCCACTGCCCCTTGGCAATCATGTTGTCAAAAATAACTAAATTAGGTTTTGCAGAAATCAGATGTGTTCCACCACAGATATCTCACAGCCTAACTGTAAATCAGATGTGTTCCACCACAGATATCGCACAGCTTAACTTTAAATCACAACACAACATGCCAACCAGCTAAAACTGTTTCTCTCTTTAGATCCAGCAGCAGCAGCAGTCAGCTCAGTCATATCTCCAACAGCAGAAGCAAAAAGTCGAGGAAAAAACATCGAAGATCTTCACGCAGTCGCAGCAGATCCAGGGACAGGAAGCATGTCAGTAGGTCATCGAGGAGATCCAGGCAGGTTTATCTTTCTGTAGATTCTCATTGGACATTTATTGTTGACTTTATTAGCTGACTGTAGATTCTCATTGGCCAGTTATTGTTGACTTTGTTAGCTGCCTGTAGATTCTCATTGGCCAGTTATTGTTGACTTTGTTAGCTGACTGTAGATTCTCATTGGCCAGTTATTGTTGACTTTGTTAGCTGCCTGTAGATTCTCATTGGACATCTTTTGTTGACTTTGTTAGCTGCCTGTAGATTCTCATTGGCCAGTTATTGTTGACTTTGTTAGCTGCCTGTAGATTCTCATTGGCCAGTTATTGTTGACTTTATTAGCTGACTGTAGATTCTCATTGGACATCTTTTGTTGACTTTGTTAGCTGCCTGTAGATTCTCATTGGCCAGTTATTGTTGACTTTGTTAGCTCTCTGTAGATTCTCATTGGACATCTTTTGTTGACTTTGTTAGCTGCCTGTAGATTCTCATTGACCAGTTATTGTTGACATTATTAGCTGACTGTAGATTCTCATTGGACATCTTTTGTTGACTTTGTTAGCTGCCTGTAGATTCTCATTGACCAGTTATTGTTGACTTTGTTAGCTGTCACTAGATTCTCATTGGACATTTATTGTTGGCTTTGTTAGCTGTCTGTATTTTAGATAGTTCAGGCATTTTTCTTTATTTTCTCTTTCTTTCTTTGGTTTAATTTTCTCGTTACTCATGAGCATGCCTCTTGAAATTTTATGACCCAAAAATTCTGTTTCCTCAAAAGGAGTCGTAAGTCCAAATTTGGATAATTCTGTAGAATACAAATCTGAGTGTAGGTATTTGCTGTGAAACATTATTGTTAAAAAAGAGCACAAGTCTTCACTAAAATTTGCAGCATCAGAAATACTGAACATGGTTTCGGTTTGTTGGTGTTTACCTGTCTGTGGTGTTTACCTGTATGTGGTGTTTACCTGTATGTGGTGTTTACCTGTATGTGGTGTTTACCTGTATGTGGTGTTTCATTTCTGTGCATCAGCCTGAAACATTAGAAAATATATTACAGAACTCTTCAACTTGTTTAGTCATTTCCGACTTCTGCACTAGTGGAAGTTTTTCTGCAATTTTAATTTGCTTCCATGAACTCTGGTAAATAGAGATGGGTATAAGAATGTGATAGTGATGGGTGTAAGAATGTGATGGGTGTAAGAACATGGTAGTGATGGGTGTAAGAATGTGATAGTGATGGGTGTAAGAATGTGATGGGTGTAAGAACATGGTAGTGATGGGTATAAGAATGTGATAGTGATGGGTGTAAGAATGTGATGGGTGTAAGAACATGGTAGTGATGGGTATAAGAATGTGATAGTGATGGGTGTAAGAATGTGATGGGTGTAAGAACATGGTAGTGATGGGTGTAAGAATGTGATAGTGATGGGTGTAAGAACATGATAGTGATGGGTATAAGAACATGATAGTGATGGGTGTAAGAATGTGATAGTGATGGGTGTAAGAATGTGATAGTGATGGGTGTAAGAACATGATAGTGATGTGTGTAAGAACATGATAGTGATGGGTGTAAGAATGTGATAGTGATGGGTGGAAGAACATAATAGTGATGGGTGTAAGAACATGATAGTGATGGGTGTAAGAACATAATAGTGATGGGTGTAAGAATGTGATAGTGATGGGGGTAAGAACGTTATAGTGATGGGTGTAAGAATGTGATAGTGATGGGTGTAAGAATGTGATAGTGATGGGTGTAAGAACATGATAGTTATGGGTGTAAGAATGTGATAGTGATGGGTGTAAGAATGTGATAGTGATGGGTGTAAGAACATGATAGTGATGGGTGTAAGAACATGATAGTGATGGGTGTAAGAACATGATAGTGATGGGTGTAAGAACATAATAGTGATGGGTGTAAGAACATGATAGTGATGGGTGTAAGAACATGATAGTGATGGGTGTAAGAACATAATAGTGATGGGTGTAAGAACATGATAGTGATGGGTGTAAGAACATGATAGTGATGGGTGTAAGAACATAATAGTGATGGGTGTAAGAACATGATAGTGATGGGTGTAAGAACGTGTTTGTCTGTAGGGGAATCTTCATGTTTAGTAATGACACTCCCCCGTGTGGGTTCCGGGGCCCCATTGTGGGGAAAACAAGAATAGACCCACTGCCCCCCGTGTGGGTTCCGGGGCCCCATTGTGGGGAAAACAAGAATAGACCCCCCTGCCTCCCCATAAGCATGTCGTAAGAGTCAACTAATTGGGGAGCTTTCTTTAAAGTCAGAATGCATTTGCCGGTGAGGCAAGGAACCAGCAGTCTGTATTCAAGAGAATGAAATCTGTAAAACTGATGCACACGCAACACTCAGGTTCTGGAGCAGGACTGCAGTTCAGTAGTGGACGAGCAACCGGAACTTTCCGCCAGAGTGTACAGCTGGTGAACGCAAAGAAGAAAGTAATGACACTTAATCTGTGAGTTGGTTTGGGAAGATGGAGCAACACTTCTTCAAGCTGAAAACATTTATCTAAAGTAGTGTCAAATTTTTGGTTTGAGATGAGTTCATCTCTCAGATTAGTTTGAGTGGAAGGGATACAGTTTTAAAAATTTGCCATAGTCTCTCTCTCACGCACTCACTCACTCACTCACTCACTCACTCACTCACTCACTCACTCACTCACTCACTCACTCTCTCACTCTTACTCACTTCATTCTATCTCACTGTTTGCTGTCTAGTTACAACATTGCAAGCTATCTTTTCACTCTGCAATTGCATGATATCACTTTAAAGAACATCAGCGATGTTCTGACAGTTACACAAGAGAGAACAGCAAATTTTGTCCTCCCCGTACAATAAACAGACTTGAGATTGGCTCATGCCAACCCACACCTTTCTTTCTTTCCTGAGAAGGTGCGACAGACGATGTGTTCACCTGTGTAATCACCTTCCTTTACCAGCAACTTTCTAATGCCTTGCACTGTGGCGCGTGTCTCACACAATTCTACACAGTTGGCCATTGATCATGCCTTTACTTAATTTCAAATGCTCATCGAAACCCGTTGCTGCATCTCCCATGGTGACTAGGATATTGTGGCCACAGGTTAGCTCACCATTCTCATTAAATGCCCTTCAAATTTGGCAATTTGTGTCTGTAAAATCTGCAACCTTGGTTGCTGTCTGTCAGCTAACAGGTCATGTCTGAGTCACTAAGTACAGACATGGACATTTACTAATAATATCCCATTATATCCCATACCTTCTGACAGGGGACAAGTGGGGGCCTTCACCATTATATCCCATACCTTCTGACAGGGGACAAGTGCGGGCCTTCACCATTATATCCCATACCTTCTGACAATGGACAAGTGTGGGCCTTCACCATTATATCCCATACCTTCTGACAGGGGACAAGTGCAGGCCTTCACCATTATATCCCATACCTTCTGACAGGGGACAAGTGCAGGCCTTCACCATTATATCCCATACCTTCTGACAGGGGACAAGTGCAGGCCTTCACCATTATATCCCATACCTTCTGTCAGGGGACAAGTGCAGGCCTTCACCATTATATCCCATACCTTCTGTCAGGGGACAAGTGAAGGCCTTCACCATTATATCCCATACCTTCTGACAGGGGACAAGTGCAGGCCTTCACCATTATATCCCATACCTTCTGACAGGGGACAAGTGCAGGCCTTCACCATTATATCCCATACCTTCTGTCAGGGGACAAGTGCAGGCCTTCACCATTATATCCCATACCTTCTGTCAGGGGACAAGTGCAGGCCTTCACCATTATATCCCATACCTTCTGACAGGGGACAAGTGCAGGCCTTCACCATTATACCCCATACCTTCTGTCAGGGGACAAGTGCGGGCCTTCACCAGAATTAGTGAACTTCTTCTCAGAGTAATTGACACTTTATTGGACAGGCCAGCGCCATAAACGGTATGATCATAACAGAGAAGTGGTCTCACCTCTGTCAAGACAATGTTGTGTGGCACACAAGGAGATATGGACAATAGGATAGCTCTCATCAAGGTTACTGGCTTCTTGAAGTAAGTTTTCTGTCTGAAGGATTGAACAAAATCAGGACAGAGCAGCACAGGAGTCTAGCTAGAGATATCAGCCTGATGAGGGTATATGGACTAGGTCACTGAGACAGACAATGGTATATGGAAAGGAGGACGGTAGTGTCCAATAAAGGACATCCTCTATGGTGAATTACAGATGGGTAGAAGATGTCAAGTCCCACCTCTACTACGGTACAAGTGGGTTATGAATGATACAGGTATTGAGGTAGATTCATAAAGAGGAAATACCATGGACCGTATTGAGTGGGGGTGTCAGGAAGGGTATAGGAATAAAGGAAAAAAAAGATTGCAGAAAAGATGAGAGCTGAGCATCTGCGTAGAAGCACACTATATATACTTGATGGTAACACCAGTCCTGAAATCCCATGCTCTAATTGTGAAAGACTTCTTAACTTGGGCGGGTATTGATAGTCACACTCACCATTGCCATGGGCTGTGATTACCCTGCTCCCCATTGCAGAATATAACACTGTCATCTTGAAAGGCTGAAATGTGCCAGATTGAACTAATATTTCATATATCTCCCCAACTATTTCAGTACATATCTCGCCAGATATGTCACCATGTATCTCAATAATATTTCACCATATATCTCACTAAACATTTCACCATTTATCTCACTAAATATCACACAACATATGTCACCAAATATTTCATGTATATATTTCACCACAAAATGCTGATCAAATAATTTTACTGCTGGAGGTTGAGCCTTCCCTTGTCTGTGCTGGCTATATTTCACTTCTTTGTTGGAACAATGCAGTATCCAGATCACATAGTTCCCAGAAAAGCCAAAGCTTCATGGCTGAGTCTGCCAACAGTTAGACAAGAATGACCAGCTTGGCCTGATGCACACTGCTCATGTGCTCCTGTCTCTGTTCTCCTTAGGTCCACAAAGACCTGATATAAACTGCTCATGTGCTCTTGTCTCTTCTCTCCTTAGGTCCACAGGACCTGATGTAAACTGCTCATTTGCTCTTGTCTCTGCTCTCCTTAGGTCCACAAGACCTAATGTAAACTGCTAATTTGTTCCTGTCTCTGCTCTCCTTAGGTCCACAAGACCTGATGTAAACTACTCATTTGCTCCTGTCTCTGTTCTCCTTAGGTCCACAAGACCTGATGTAAACTGCTCATTTGTTCCTGTCTCTGCTCTCCTTAGGTCCACAAGACCTGATGTAAACTACTCATTTGCTCCTGTCTCTGTTCTCCTTAGGTCCACAAGACCTGATGTAAAATACTCATTTGCTCTTGTCTCTGTTCTCCTTAGGTCCACAAGACCTGATGTACACTGCTCATTTGTTTCTGTCTCTGTTCTCCTTAGGTCCACAAGACCTGATGTAAACTACTCATTTGTTCCTTTCTCTGTTCTCCTTAGGTCCACAAGACCTGATGTAAACTGCTAATTTGTTCCTGTCTCTGTTCTCCTTAGGTCCACAAGACCTGATGTAAACTGCTCATTTGTTCATGTCTCTGTTCTCCTTAGGTCCACAAAGACCTGATATAAACTGCTCATGTGCTCTTGTCTCTGCTCTCCTTAGGTCCACAAGACCTGATGTAAACTGCTAATTTGTTCCTGTCTCTGTTCTCCTTAGGTCCACAAGACCTGATGTAAACTACTCATTTGCTCCTGTCTCTGCTCTCCTTAGGTCCACAAGACCTGATGTAAACTGCTCATTTGCTCCTGTCTCTGCTCTCCTTAGGTCCACAAGACCTGATGTAAACTACTCATTTGCTCCTGTCTATGTTCTCCTTAGGTCCACAAGACCTGATGTAAACTGCTCATTTGTTCCTGTCTCTGTTCTCCTTAGGTCCAAAAGACCTGATGTAAACTACTCATTTGCTCCTGTCTCTGTTCTCCTTAGGTCCACAAGACCTGATGTACACTGCTCGTTTGTTTCTGTCTCTGTTCTCCTTAGGTCCACAAGACCTGATGTAAACTGCTCATTTGTTCCTGTTTCTGTTCTCCTTAGGTCCACAAGACCTGATGTAAACTGCTCATTTGTTCCTGTCTCTGTTCTCCTTAGGTCCACAAGACCTGATGTACACTGCTCATGTGCTCCTGTCTCTGTTCTCCTTAGGTCCACAAGACCTGATGTAAACTGCTCATGTGTTCCTGTCTCTGTTCTCCTTAGGTCCACAAGACCTGATGTACACTGCTTATGTGCTCCTGTTTCTGTTCTCCTTAGGTCCACAAGACCTGATGTACACTGCTCATTTGTTCCTGTCTCTGTTCTCTTCAGGTCCAAAAGTCCTGATAGATACAGTAGCAGGAAACGAAGGTCAGATTCCAGATCCCCTGGTCGGAAAAGCTCTAAGCGAGGAAGGACCAGATCAAAATCACCATCCTCTAGAAAACGGAGGTCATATTCCAGAAGTCGAAGGTCTAGGTCACCATCTCGGGATCGCAGGAAGAAATCTGATTCAAGAGAACGATCGTATTCTGCAGATAGAGCAAGCTCAACAAGGTTAGACAGTTGGTAAATGTTTGTCTCATAAATTAGACATTGTGTATATCTCATAGATCAGGCAATGTTTTTCTCAAAATCAAACAGTGTGTGTCTCATAGATCAGTTAGTGTTTTTCTTATAGATCAGACATTATTTGTCTCATAGATCAGATAATATTTGTCTCATAGATCAAACTGTTTTTCTCATAGATCAGACAGTGGTTTATCTTATAAATCAGACAATATATGTCTCATAGATCATACAATGTGTGTCTCATAGACCAAACAGTGTGTATCTTATAAATCAGGCAATATTTGTCTCATAGATGAGATAGTGTTTCTCATATATCAGGCAGTGCTTGTCTCATAAATCAGACATTGTGTGTGTCATAGATCAGGCAGTATTTATCTTATAAAGCAGGCAATGTGTGGCTGATATATCAGACAATGTGTGTGATGGATCAGACAGTGTGCATCTCATAAAGCAGACAGTATGTGTCTCATAGATCAGACAATGTTTGTATCATAGATCAGACAATGTTTGTATCATAGATCAGACAATATGTATCTCATAGATCAAATAGTGTTTGTCTCATAGATCAGATAGTGTTTGTCTCATAGATCAGACAGTGTTAATCTTATAAATTAAACAACGCATCTCATAAATCAGACATTGTGTGTCTCAATCACCAGACATAAATTATCTTATAAATTCGACAATGTGTGTCTGGCAGATCAGACAGTATTTATCTTATAAAGCAAGCAATGTGTGTCTGACATATCAGACAATGTGTGTGATGGATCAGACAGTGTGTGTCTCAAAAAGCAGACGGTTTAGGTCTCATAAATCAGACAATGTATGCCCCATAGATCAGGCAGTGTTTGTCTCATAATTCAGACAGTGTGTATCTCATAGATCAGACAGTGTGTGTCTCATAGATCATACAATGTTTGTCTCATAGATTAGACAATGTGTGTCCCATAGATCAGACAATATGTGTCCAATTGATCAGACAATGTTTGCCTCATAGGTCAGATAATATGCATCTCATAGATCAGACAGTATCTAGGAATCCTCTGGCTCTCATCGGCTGATCCCCAATGCATGGGTGATAAAGTCCATCAGAACTTTTCTAGACCATAAGTGAAGCCAGCTGGCCGAATATTCTTGTATATGACAAACCTTGAATCAAATGTCTGTCAACGAAAAGTTCTACTTAACTGCTGGTTATGCTGAAATGGCCGTCTGTCAGGATGTCCTAATCACTAGAAGATATGTTCGCAGCTGACACCCAATATCTCATTGTGATACAGGCAGCATTTAGAAGTCCACTACCATTGGCTTCACTGGTCTAAGTGTCGGACCATTAGTCCAACTGTGAAATGTCCCGCTGACTGACCAACAAGGTTAAAGTATCTTCTGCCACTGGCCTCACTCCTCGAAGTGCCGGAACCAATCAATGGAAGCCATGCCAGATGTGTGATTTTCATACACTGTCATGCTGAGTGTCTTGATGCAAAAATATTAAAGGTATCTAACAAACTGAAGTAATTTGTGCCTTTTTGTGTGGTCAACAAAGTCCTCGACCTCCAGGTTGATCTCCGAAGGGTGCAGCCCATGACAAGTGGAAAGCTGAACGTGCGGATGTGAGGTTAAGCAGTCATGTGTGAATGTGAGGTTAAGCAGTCATGTGTGAATGTGAGGTTAAGCAGTCATGTGTGAATGTGAGGTTAAGCAGTCATGTGCAGGATGTGAGGTTAAGCAGTCATGTGCAGGATGTGAGGTTTAGCAGTCATGTGCAGGATGTGGGGTTAAGCAGTCATGTGCAGAATGTGAGGTTAAGCAGTCATGTGCAGGATGTGGGGTTAAGCAGTCATGTGCAGGATGTGAGGTTAAGCAGTCATGTGTGAATGTGAGGTTAAGCAGTCATGTGTGAATGTGAGGTTAAGCAGTCATGTGTGAATGTGAGGTTAAGCAGTCATGTGTGAATGTGAGGTTAAGCAGTCATGTGTGAATGTGAGGTTAAGCAGTCATGTGTGAATGTGAGGTTAAGCAGTCATGTGTGAATGTAAGGTTAAGCAGTCATGTGTGAATGTGAGGTTAAGCAGTCATGTGTGAATGTAAGGTTAAGCAGTCATGTGTGAATGTGAGGTTAAGCAGTCATGTGTGAATGTGAGGTTAAGCAGTCATGTGCAGGATGTGAGGTTTAGCAGTCATGTGCAGGATGTGAGGTTTAGCAGTCATGTGTGAATGTGAGGTTAAGCAGTCATGTGGAGGATGTGAGGTTAAACAGTCATGTGGAGGATGTGAGGTTAAGCAGTCATGTGTGAATGTGAGGTTAAGCAGTCATGTGCAGGATGTGAGGTTAAGCAGTCATGTGTGAATGTGAGGTTAAACAGTCATGTGGAGGATGTGAGGTTAAGCAGTCATGTGCAGGATGTGAGGTTAAGCAGTCATGTGCAGGATGTGAGGTTAAGCAGTCATGTGCAGGATGTGAGGTTAAGCAGTCATGTGTGAATGTGAGGTTAAGCAGTCATGTGTGAATGTGAGGTTAAGCAGTTATGTGTGAATGTGAGGTTAAGCAGTCATGTGCAGGATGTGAGTTTAAGCAGTCATGTGTGAATGTGAGGTTAAGCAGTCATGTGCAGGATGTGAGGTTAAGCAGTCATGTGCAGGATGTGTGGTTAAGCTGTCATGTGCAGGATGTGAGGTTAAACAGTCATGTGCAGGATGTGAGGTTAAGCAGTCATGTGCAGGATGTGAGGTTAAGCAGTCATGTGTGAATGTGAGATTAAACAGTCATGTGCAGGATGTGAGGTTAAGCAGTCATGTGTGAATGTGAGGTGGAGCAGTCATGTGTGAATGTGAGGTTAAGCAGTCATGTGCAGGATATGAGGTTAAGCAGTCATGTGTGAATGTAAGGTTAAGCAGTCATGTGCTGGATGTGAGGTTAAACAGTCATGTGTGAATGTGAGGTTAAGCAGTCATGTGCAGGATGTGAGGTTAAGCAGTCATGTGCAGGATGTGAGGTTAAACAGTCATGTGTGAATGCGAGGTTAAGCAGTCATGTGTTAATGTGAGGTTAAGCAGTCATGTGCTGGATGTGAGGTTAAACAGTCATGTGTGAATGTGAGGTTAAGCAGTCATGTGCTGGATGTGAGGTTAAACAGTCATGTGCTGGATGTGAGGTTAAGCAGTCATGTGCTGGATGTGATGTTAAACAGTCATGTGCTGGATGTGACGTTAAACAGTCATGTGTGAATGTGAGGTTAAGCAGTCATGTGCTGGATGTGAGGTTAAACAGTCATGTGTGAATGTGAGGTTAAGCAGTCATGTGTGAATGTGAGGTTAAACAGTCATGTGCTAGATGTGAGGTTAAACAGTCATGTGTGAATGTGAGGTTAAACAGTCATGTGCTGGATGTGAGGTTAAACAGTCATGTGCTGGATGTGAGGTTAAACAGTCATGTGCTGGATTTGAGGTTAAACAGTCATGTGCTGGATGTGAGGTTAAACAGTCATGTGCTGGGTGTGAGGTTAAACAGTCATGTGCTGGATGTGAGGTTAAACAGTCATGTGCTGGATGTGAGGTTAAACAGTCATGTATGAATGTGAGGTTAAGCAGTCATGTGTGAATGTGAGGTTAAACAGTCATGTGCTGGATGTGATGATTTCTTGAGTAAGCCCAGGACCTTAGCATCATATGTCAGGTCTGCATTTATGGAAGGCTCCTTGGAAAAAAGGGGTTTGGGGGAAGGGGGGGTTGGGGCAGGGGGTGTTTCTCATTGATGTCTGTGGTGGGGGGGGGGGTCAGAGGGTGTTTCTCATTGATGTCTCTGTGGGGGGGGGGGGGGGGGGCAGGGGGTGTTTCTCTTTGATGTCTGTGGGGGGGGGGCAGGGGGTGTTTCTCATTGATGTCTGTGGGGGGGGGGCAGAGGGTGTTTCTCATTGATGTCTGTGGTGGGGGGGGGGGTGGGGGGGGGGGGGTGTTTCTCATTGATGTCTGTGGTGGTGGGGGGGGCAGAGGGTGTTTCTCATTGATGTCTGTGGTGGGGGGGGGGCAGGGGGTGTTTCTCATTGATGTCTGTGGGGGGGGGGGGGGCAGGGGGTGTTTCTCATTGATGTCTGTGGTGGGGGGGGGGGGGCAGGGGGTGTTTCTCATTGATGTCTGTGGGGTATTGGTAGAAGCATGGTTCCAGCTGTGATGATATTGATCATATAGCCCTCCTTGTTCCTCATATAGGTCATCTGTGGACAGGCACAAGGCTACAGGTCAGCCAGCTGGAAGTCCCAGATTAAAGGGGTATGTGTGTCATGTGTCTGTGGTATGTGTGGGGTATGTGTGTCATGTGTCTGTGGTATGTGTGTGGTATGTGTGTCTGTGGTATGTGTGTGGTATGTGTGTCTGTGGTATGTGTGTGGTATGTGTGTCTGTGGTATGTGTGTCATGTGTCTGTGGTATGTGTGTCATGTGTCTGTGGTATGTGTATGTGGTATGTGTGTCATGTGTCTGTGGTATGTGTGGGGTATGTGTGTCATGTGTCTGTGGAATGTGTGTGTCATGTGTCTGTGGTATGTGTGTCATGTGTCTGTGGTATGTGTGTCATGTGTCTGTGGTATGTGTGGGGTATGTGTGTCATGTGTCTGTGGAATGTGTGTGTCATGTGTCTGTGGTATGTGTGTCATGTGTCTGTGGTATGTGTGTCATGTGTATGTGGAATGTGTGTGGTGTGTGTGTCATGTGTATGTGGAATGTGTGTCATGTGTATGTGGAATGTGTGTGGTATGTGTGTTGAATGATGATTGTATTTAGTGAAACAGCTCACTGTGTTGAATGATGATTGTATTTAGTGAAACAGTTCACTGTGTTGAATGATGATTGTGTTTAGTAAAACAGCTCACTGTGTTGAATGATGATTGTATTTAGTGAAACAGTTCACTGTGTTTCTATGATGATTGTGTTTAGTGAAACAGCTCACTGTGTTGAATGATGCTTGTGTTTAGTGAAACAGTTCACTGTGTTTCTATGATGATTGTGTTTAGTGAAACAGCTCACTGTGTTGAATGATGCTTGTGTTTAGTGAAACAGTTCACTGTGTTGAATGATGATTGTGTTTAGTGAAACAGTTCACTGTGTTGAATGATGATTGTGTTTGGTGAAACAGGACACTGTGTTGAATGATGATTGTGTTTAGTGAAACAGTTCACTGTGTTGAATGATGATTGTGTTTAGTGAAACAGTTCACTGTGTTGAATGATGATTGTGTTCAAGTGTTTCCTTCCCTGTCTTATTAATCTGTTCAAGTTTATCCTTCCCTGTCTTATTGATCTGTTCAAGTTTATCCTTCCCTAGACTGACATGACAGATGTTATACTAACTTTTGCTAGTTACTTCTGTACATAGACAGTTTATATTGTGTACATTGAAGTGGCTTCTGTACATAGACAGTTTCCATTGTGTACATTGAAGTGGCTTCTGTACATAGACAGTTTCCATGTGTGTACATTGAAGTGGCTTCTGTACATAGACAGTTTCCATGTGTGTACATTGAAGTGGCTTCTGTACACAGACAGTTTCCATTGTTTACATTGAAGTGGCTTCTGTACATAGACAGTTTCCATTGTGTACATTGAAGTGGCTTCTGTACATAAACAGTTTCCATTGTGTACATTGAAGTTGCTTCATGTTGTGATACAGCCGATGGTGGAGTCACAAGCCAGACATTGTTGAGATTTAGAGGTATTTGGTGAAAATCATGGCATAGACATGCACACAAGTGTACAGAGTCTGTTTCATAGACACATGTACACAGTGGACAGAGACAGTGTCATAGACACATGTACACAGTGGACAGAGACAGTGTCATAGACACATGTACACAGTGGACAGAGACAGTTTCATAGATGCATGTACACTGTGGACAGAGACAGTTTCATAGACGCATGTACACTGTGAACAGAGACAGTTTCATAGATGCATGTACACAGTGGACAGAGACAGTGTCATAGACACATGTACACAGTGGACAGAGACAGTGTCATAGACACATGTACACAGTGGACAGAGACAGTTTCATAGACGCATGTACACTGTGAACAGAGACATTTTCATAGATGCATGTACACAGTGGACAGAGACAGTTTCATAGACATGTGCACAGTGAATGGAGACAGTTTCATAGACATGTACACAGTGGACAGAGCCAGTTTCATAGATATGTACACAGTGAACAGAGTCAGTTTCATAGACATGTACACAGTGAACAGAGTCAGTTTCATAGACGCATGTACACAGTGGACAGAGGCAGTTTCATAGACATGTACACAGTGGACAGAGACATGTGGACAGAGAGAGCTTCATAGAAATGGGCAGAAGAGTTGTGAGAGAAATGTTCACAAATCATGGACAGAGGAGTGTTCACAAATTATGGACAGAGAAATGTTTGAAAACAGTAGATAGAGAAATCAGAGAAATATTCACAAACAGTGGATAGAGAAGGTATCAGAGGAATGTTCACAGTGGATAAAGAAATGGTCACTAATAGTGGATAGAGGTGTCAGAGAAATTATAGCAAACAGTGGATAGAGAAGGTGTAAGAGAAATGTTCACAAACAGTGGACAGAGAAGGTAACAGGGAGAAATGTTCACAAACTTCACCATATTTTCAGACCAGATAGGTGTTTACTTTTGTAGTTTATGTAATGTTTTGTTTTGTCTTCCTAACAGGCAACCATTCTCTGATAGTATGCCAGGTTTCATTGATTTGGTAGGTTTGTTATTTGATGGATGTTTTGTTACTGTTTCATCATGTGGTTTCATCACCACCCAGGTGATGTGATTGTCTCTACAGATTGCATGTGATTGTCTCTACAGATTGCATGTGATTGTCTCTACAGATTGCATGTGATTGTCTCTACAGATTGCATGTGATTGTATCTACAGATTGCATGTGATTGTCTATAAAGATTGCATGTGATTGTCTCTACAGATTGCATGTGATTGTCTCTACAGATTGCATGTGATTGTCTCTACAGATTGCATGTGATTGTCTCTACAGATTGCATGTGATTGTCTCTACAGATTGCATGTGATTGTCTCTACAGATTGCATGTGATTGTCTCTACAGATTGCATGTGATTGTCTATACAGATTGCATGTGATTGTCTCTACAGATTGCATGTGATTGTCTCTACAGATTGCATGTGATTGTCTCTACAGATTGCATGTGATTGTCTCTACAGATTGCATGTGATTGTCTCTACAGATTGCATGTGATTGTCTCTACAGATTGCATGTGATTGTCTCTACAGATTGCATGTGATTGTCTCTGCAGATTGCATGTGATTGTCTCTGCAGATTGCATGTGATTGTCTTTGCAGATTGTATGTGATTGTCTATACAGATTGCATGTGATTGTCTATACAGATTGCATGTGATTGTCTCTACAGATTGCATGTGATTGTCTCTACAGATTGCATGTGATTGTCTCTACAGATTGCATGTGATTGTCTCTACATATTGCATGTGATTGTCTCTACAGATTGCATGCGATTGTCTCTACAGATTGCATGTGATTGTCTCTACAGATTGCATGTGATTGTCCATACAGATTGCATGTGATTGTCCATACAGATTGCATGTGATTGTAAATACAGATTGCATGTGATTGTCCATACAGATTGCATGTGATTGTCTCTACAGATTGCTCTGTGTCGAGGGGCAGATGAAGTGCATGAGGGTTCATAGTGAAGGCGAATGGACGTCGTTTGGTGCAACAAAGCCTGGCATATGATATCACAACGTCTAGTTTGAGAATGGAGGTGGAGGCAGTCACTGCTGTCTTCCGCTGGCTTGAGAATCTGCTGTACACACATGCCGTCACTATATCTGACTCACAGAGCATGTTGAGACAGGTGGATACAGGCATGCTCCGTGCAGAGTGGCAAGCATGACTTGAAAGGTTCCGGGTAGTTATCATCCTTTGAATATTTTCTCCAGGTAATGCTGGTGTGTTGGAAAATGAGCAGGCAGATAGACCGGCCGGTCCTGCACCACTTGGTGGTGAATTGATGTATGAAAAGCTGGATGTTGTGAGGGCACTTTGGGAGCGAGTGAACAGTGCCGAGGCACAGATAGATCATTACGGTCTGAGAAGGATGGCCCTGCGGGGAGATACAAGGGGATCTACCTGATGCTGGACACTCAGGGGAGAGGCAAATGAATATACAATCAGACAGTTACTGGTACCATTGTAATTTTAACTCTTTGCTTGATGCTGAAGATGGGAACGGAGCACTTATGGGGGTGTCTCGAGTGCTGTGATGTTGATTCTTAATTCAACGTTTAATTTGTGGTATGTTTCCAGCCTCTGTTTGGTTGCTAGGAATATTTTCAGAATGTTGAATGCGGATCACAGCAGACTACTGCATATTTTGTCTGCAGCTTTCACAGTTTTTGTACATATGCTTACTATCCCCTGATACATCGGTTCTATTTCTGAGAATGTCGGGGTTGATCCAGAATCTGTCCAAAGAAGCTCAGAGAGCGATGATTTGATTTCTTTCAGTTGAAGGATGTCAACCAGTGGATATTCATCAAAGAATGCAGGCAGATATAACAAATGTGAGTCAAAGACAACAGTGACAGACTGGGTACTAATGTTTCAGAAAGGACATGAGTTCACAACAGATCTTCCACGGCCATGTCAAGCGCATATTGTTACAGCAGAAAGAAGAACCGTTGTCAAAATTAATGCAATAGTAGAGGTGAACTGTTAAAAGGTATTACGTCGCTAGCAACAGAATTTGATGTTTTGATTGGGACAGTTCAAAATGTTTGTAAGAACTGTCAGTATTTGAAGGTGTAATCGTGCATGGGATGGTATTTTTCTTCTGCATAGTGGCAGGCACTCAATTATGGTGTCACCACTTTGAACCTGGCAGCAGAAGAGAGAGCATACAAGGGAAGTATGCTAGATCACCCCAAGCAGTAGAAGAGAGAGCATGCAAGGGAAGTATGCTAGATCACCAGAAGATACAATGTTCAAGCAGTAGAAGAGAGAGCATGCAAGGGAAGTATGCTAGATCACCCCAAGCAGTAGAAGAGAGAGCATGCAAGGGAAGTATGCCAGATCACCAGAAGATACAATGTTCAAGCAGCAGAAGAGAGAGCATGCAAGGGAAGTATGCTAGATCACCCCAAGCAGCAGAAGAGAGAGCATACAAGGGAAGTATGCTAGATCACCCCAAGCAGCAGAAGAGAGAGCATGCAAGGGAAGTATGCTAGATCACCCCAAGCAGTAGAAGAGAGAGCATACAAGGGAAGTATGCTAGATCACCAGAAGATACAATGTTCAAGCAGCAGAAGAGAGAGCATGCAAGGGAAGTATGCTAGATCACCCCAAGCAGCAGAAGAGAGAGCATACAACGGAAGTATGCTAGATCACCAGAAGATACAATGTTCAAGCAGCAGAAGAGAGAGCATACAAGGGAAGTATGCTAGATCACCCCAAGCAGTAGTAGAGAGAGCATGCAAGGGAAGTATGCTAGGTCATCCCAAGCAGTAGAAGAGAGAGCATGCAAGGCAAGTATGCTAGATCACCCCAAGCAGTAGAAGAGAGAGCATACAAGGGAAGTATGCTAGATCACCAGAAGATTCAATGTTCAAGCAGTAGAAGAGAGAGCATGCAAGGGAAGTATGCCAGATCACCAGAAGATACAATGTTCAAGCAGTAGAAGAGAGAGCATGCAAGGAGAGTATGCTAGATCACCAGAAGATACAATGTTCAAACAGTAGAAGAGAGAGCATGCAAGGAGAGTATGCTAGATCACCAGAAGATACAATGTTCAAACAGTAGAAGAGAGAGCATGCAAGGAGAGTATGCTAGATCACCAGAAGATACAATGTTCAAACAGTAGAAGAGAGAGCATGCAAGGAGAGTATGCTAGATCACCAGAAGATACAATGTTCAAGCAGTAGAAGAGAGAGCATGCAAGGAGAGTATGCTAGGTCACCAGAAGATACAATGTTCAAGCAGTAGAAGAGAGAGCATGCAAGGAGAGTATGCTAGATCACCAGAAGATACAATGTTCAAGCAGTAGAAGAGAGAGCATGCAAGGAGAGTATGCTAGATCACCAGAAGATACAATGTTCAAGCAGTAGAAGAGAGAGCATGCAAGGAGAGTATGCTAGATCACCAGAAGATACAATGTTCAAGCAGTAGAAGAGAGAGCATACAAGGAGAGTATGCTAGATCACCAGAAGATACAATGTTCAAGCAGTAGAAGAGAGAGCATGCAAGGGAAGTATGCTAGATCACCAGAAGATACAATGTTCAAGCAGTAGAAGAGAGAGCATACAAGGAGAGTATGCTAGATCACCAGAAGATACAATGTTCAAGCAGTAGAAGAGAGAGCATGCAAGGGAAGTATGCTAGATCACCAGAAGATACAATGTTCAAGCAGTAGAAGAGAGAGCATGCAAGGAGAGTATGCTAGATCACCAGAAGATACAATGTTCAAGCAGTAGAAGAGAGAGCATGCAAGGGAAGTATGCTAGATCACCAGAAGATACAATGTTCAAACAGTAGTAGAGAGAGCATGCAAGGAGAGTATGCTAGATCACCAGAAGATACAATGTTCAAACAGTAGAAGAGAGAGCATGCAAGGGAAGTATGCTAGATCACCCCAAGCAGTAGAAGAGAGAGCATGCAAGGAAAGTATGCTAGATCACCCCAAGCAGTAGAAGAGAGAGCATGCAAGGGAAGTATGCTAGATCACCCCAAGCAGTAGAAGAGAGAGCATGCAAGGAGAGTATGCTAGATCACCAGAAGATACAATGTTCAAGCAGTAGAAGAGAGAGCATGCAAGGAGAGTATGCTAGGTCACCAACAGCCACAGTGTTCAGATCCGCCAGTAAGGTTATGCTGAGCAAATTTTTTTTTTTTGGGGGGGGGGGGGGGGGGGGGGGGGGGCAATGAAGGGCTTTTGTTGGCAGATGTTAAAGAACCTGGTGCCAGCTTCAACTCTACCTTCTGCAAGAAACACTAGACAAGCTGTGTAAAGCCATCATGAACAAATGTCCCAGCAAGTTTTCTCACTGTTTAATGTTGATGTATGATATTGCTCGTCTGCATGTTGCAAAAATTGTGCGGGAAACATTAGCACGGAAGAAGGGGAATTTCTGCAATGTCCAGCCTAAAGTCCTGATTTGTCACCATTTAAGTTTTGTTTGTTTGTTTGTTTGTTTGTTTGTTTGTTTGTTTGTTTGTTTGTTTGTTCAGAATTCAACAAAAGCTCTCAAGGGGCAATGATTTCACACGAACGCAGATATAATAAATGGGGTTAACTCTTGGTTCTTTTGTGTGGATGGAATTCGCTGCCTGCATAAGCAATAGGATGCTTGTCTGGATGTGTGTCTGGATGTGTGTCTGGATGTGTGGATGGATGTGTGGATGGATGTGTGTCTGGATGTGTGTCTGGATGTGTGGATGGATGTGTGTCTGGATGTGAGGATGGATGTGTGTCTGGATGTGTGGATGGATGTGTGGATGGATGTGTGTCTGGATGTGTGGATGGAATTCGCTGCCTGCATAAGCAATAGGATGCTTGTCTGGATGTGTGGATGGATGTGTGTCTGGATGTGTGGATGGATGCGTGTCTGGATCTGTGGATGGATGTGTGGATGGATGTGTGTCTGGATGTGTGGATGGAATTCGCTGCCTGCATAAGCAATAGGATGCTTGTCTGGATGTGTGGATGGATGTGTGTCTGGATGTGAGGATGGATGTGTGTCTGGATGTGTGGATGGATGTGTGGATGGATGTGTGTCTGGATGTGTGTCTGGATGTGTGGATGGATGTGTGGATGGATGTGTGTCTGGATGTGTGGATGGAATTCGCTGCCTGCCCAAGCAATGGGATGCTTGTCTGGATGTGTGGAGCAACCTTTGTCCTGACCAACTCATGGTGCATGATTTACTAAAACGAATGATGTGTTTGATTCTTCCACACCTGTGGATGTTTGTCAATGGAAAGCAAGATTGTCAACTACTGGAGTAGCATTGGCTGAAACCAGAGAAGGAAAACTATTTCTGGTCAACAGGAGAACTAGTCTATGGATATTTGAGTTAGTAATGTTGATAGTAATTTGTGCAATTTTATTCTTACAGACATTGGCTGAACAAGCAGAAGAGAGACTGAGGCAAGCGATGAAAGCTGCAAGTAAGTCAGCTTTGTGTATTATTATTATAATATTAAGTGATTATGTTCCAGTGTGCACAACCAGGACATTGCATGTGAAGTGAGAAACTTGAAATGTACGATCTCATCAAATGATTGTGTTCCAGTCCAAATAATCTGTAGCACTATCTTCTTATAGATCTGCAGCATTTTAGCCTCTGACCCTGGACTCTGGTCTAAGGTTCATAATCCCACACCTTGGTAGATCTCTCCCCCCCCCCCCCCTCCATCCCCTTTGCATCCATCCTAAATGACCTAGGTACCAAGATCAGCCCAACCTAACATGGGTACCAGTAAGCCTCAGGACGTAAAGGCAGCCAGCGTAATGTTGGACCACATCACCCATGAACAGGCTGCCGATTGATCTATAAACACTTATAGCACCATATGTGCGGTGCGCCCATGATGGTCTATAAACACTTACAGCACCATATGTGCGGTGCACCCAAGGTGGTCTATAAACAAATTAGCACCATATTTGTTGTGCACCCAAGATGGTCTATAAACACGTATATCACCATATGTGTAGTGCACCCAAGATGGTCTATAAACATGTCTAGCACCATATGAGCGGTGCACCCAAGATGGTCTATAAACATGTCTAGCACCATATGTGCTGTGCACCCAAGATGGTCTATAAACATGTCTAGCACCATATGTGCGGTGCACCAAAGATGGTCTATAAACATGTTTAGCACCATATGTGCTGTGCACCCAAGATGGTCTATAAACATGTCTAGCACCATATGTGCTGTGCACCCAAGATGGTCTATAAACATGTCTAGCACCATATGTGTGGTGCACCCAAAATGGTCTATAAACATGTCTAGCACTAGATGTGCAGTGCGCCCAAGAAGGTCTATAAACATGTCTAGCACCAAATGTGCAGTGCGCCCAAGGAAATTGTCCTTGGCTTATTGGTTTTATTGTCTCTTTCTCTCTGATGTCATGTGGTATCGATAGTTAGGCCTCTTTCATGGCAAAATAGTTTAGCCATGTCACTACCCAGGTTTTGTGTAGCCATGTCACTACCCAGGTTTTGTGTAGCCATGTCACTCACTACCCAGGTTTTGTGTAGCCATGTCACTACCCAGGTTTTGTGTAGCCATGTCACTACCCAGGTTTTGTGTAGCCATGTCACTACCCAGGTTTTGTGTAGCCATGTCACTACCCAGGTTTTGTGTAGCCATACCATTGTACCCAGCTTCTTTGTAGCTATACCACTGTAGACAAAATAATTTAGCCTTACCAAGTGATTCTTTGAGCATGATCCAGCGGGTCGAGGCAGGCTGGTTATGCAGACAGTGGTTTGAGTCATTGCAAAACTCTCCTGTGTGTGCAGTTATCTTCATATTCATCCCAGAATTTGCAGGCATTGTTGGGAATGAAAGAGCTGATAGACTGGCAGGTGCTGCATTGATTGAAGATGGCCGGCCCATAGATAGTGCAGACATTGTCATTGCCCTTAGAGAGATAGGACGTTCTGAGGATTTTGGAAGCAACGTGTCAACATCACTGCTAAGAATACGAGAATTGGGAGCAAAGATCGGCACAGCCAAGCATGAGAAGCACACTGGACGCACACAAAGTCTTGTTAACCAACATGTTAAGAGGGGAGTCTGAGCAACTATGGATGTGTCCGAATGCTGTGAAGATAATCTAACTCATAACTCCTAATTTATGTTTCTCTCTATTTAGCTTCAGCTGATGAAAAGTTGCAGGCTCGTTCAGCCACGGAATCCTTGGGCTCATATCTGTACTCAGACACAAAAAGCTTTGCTGCATCAGTGTCGGCCATAGAGTCGGATAGTTTTGTGGCTTCATCATTTAAGTCGTCACGCTCCACAAAGATAAAGGTAACATGTTGAATGTTATTTTTTTTGGTGTTCTCATTTGTTTGTTTGTTTTGTTTTGTTTGAATAATGAAGTCAGACAAAAGATGACACAGTTTATTGGCTGACAAATTTTCCCTCCTCATGTCAGGTGCATATTACCTAACTAAAGCAACATAAATTATGTCTAATCTAAACGATGAGCCCTTTTAGTTTGATATACACATCAGACACACACAGTTCTGAGCATCAATGTCAGCATTACCATGGTAGTTTAAAGTTGATTAGCATATCTGTCTGTTTCCAGAGTGTGGAGGTACACGTTCACTTACTTGTGGACACACTGAATATCTCAATGATTACACAATTTTGTTGTCTGGTAAATAAACTGAATAGCTGAGGAATTATAAAATCTTGTTGTTTCACTCTGTAAATCAAGAATCATTCATGAAATAATTCCCTTTGAAGTAAATGAAACTGGTGCATTTATGTTTGCAGGAAGAAGCCCCAGAGTCTGGGATGTCTCATGACGATGCCATCTTTGGATCCCTGGCAATTTCAGGTTTCACACTGATGCCAGACCCAGATACGAAACCCATCCAGCTGGACCCGGATTCAATCATGCATCCAAGTGTCAGTATTCACATTGTTTCAGTTATATAAGATCACATTGATTGATGCTTTGTTGTCTTATTTTATTTTGTATAATGTTGTGTTGTCTTATTTGATTGTCTTCACATGTTTTCTTCAACATGTGTGTTTGTTTTGTCAGATAATTGCTTTTATTCAATCAGTCGGCAGCAGTCTCCCCATTTAATGGCTGCCATGAATTTCCAAGATGCCCTGTCTCTTGTCTTGGTTGTACATTCTCTCGGACTGCCCTTCATCCATCTCTTGATGTTGTCCTCCCACTTATAACATTGTCTGCCTCTTGTTTTCTTGCCTTTGACTTTTCCCACCAGTATGGCTTTTAAAGCATGTTTCCTCCTCTTCTCTGCTTCTGTTTCTTCTTCGCTTCTGTTTCTTCTTCGCTTCCTCCTCTTCTCTGCTTCTGTTTCTTCTTCACTTCTGTTTCTTCTTCACTTCTGTTTCTTCTTCGCTTCTGTTTCTTCTTCACTTCCTCCTCTTCTTCGCTTCTGTTTCTTCTTCGCTTCCTCCTCTTCTCTGCTTCTGTTTCTTCTTCACTTCCTCCTCTTCTCTGCTTCTGTTTCTTCTTCACTTCTGTTTCTTCTTCGCTTCCTTCTTTTCTCTGCTTCTGTTTCTTCTTCGCTTCCTCCTCTTCTCTGCTTCTGTTTCTTCTTCGCTTCTGTTTCTTCTTCGCTTCCTCCTCTTTCTCTGCTTCTGTTTCTTCTTCGCTTATGTTTCTTCTTCGCTTCCTCCTCTTTCTCTGCTTCTGTTTTTGTGGTGTGTCATAGATTTGTTGTATTTATATATCATGATTTTTGGGGTATTTTTATGTCATGGGTTATTGTTCTGTGTCATGGTTTGAGTGGTTTTTTTGTGTGTGGGTATTTTTATGTCATGGGTTATTGTTCTGTGTCGTGGTATTTTTGTGTGTGTGTGTGTTGTTTTTTTTGGGTGTATTTTTGTGTCATGGGTTATTGTTCTGTGTCGTGGTTTGTGTGGTATTTTTGTGTCATGGGTTTTTGTTCTGTGTCGTGGTTTGTGTGGTATTTTTGTGTGTGTGTGTGTTGTTTTTTTTGGTGTATTTTTGTGTCATGGGTTATTGTTCTGTGTCGTGGTTAGTGTGGTATTTTTGTGTGTGTGTTGTTTTTTTTTGGTGTATTTTTGTGTGGTATTTTTGTGTCATGGGTTTGTGTTCTTTCATTTATTGTGTTCTGGTTGTGATTTTGTGCTCTTTGTTTTACTGTAGACTCTCATTGTTGCTATAGACTGCTGCTCTTATGCTCCTACAGGAACCTAGAATGCAGTTTTGACAGTGTTATTTGTGCATTTTGACTGAACACTGGCTTCTTCTTTACAGTTATACTGTGACCCACAAGAGAAAATGGAGAGATGGATTTCACGTCTGGTACAGCTTCGCAGACGCAAGTTGGAAGGCGATGTCATTTAGTCAACAATTACAATGTGATCTTTGAGGCAGCTATGGCATTGACCTTGCTACATCTGATAGAAGTAGAAATCTTTTTTTTTGGGGGGGGGGGATGGGGGGGGAAGAATTAATGTTTGCTTTTATAAATAAAATGTTATTCCATGTAGATCTATTTACTGACTTTATTGTTTTTAGTTTTAGGATCTATTTCCTCTAGTTAAATGTGTGTCTGGACACTGCATCAGTGTGGTTTGATAGAATAAAGATGAGAAAACAGAACAAATAACAAACTAAATAAGCATGTGTTGAGAGAAACCGATAGAACTGGTTACACACGACAGAAGGGGACAGTCCACATTCTTTAGGGACAGACACCAAGAGAAGGGAAAAACTGCAGTCTGATTGTGAGAAGGGAAAAACTGCAGTATGATTGTGAGAAGACAAAAATGTGGAGGAGATAAGAGGCAGGCGGAGTTCAACTAGCAGTGCTTGAGACAGAAGACTGTGGATATACATGACGACCAAATGTAAACAACTGGCAGTGCTTGAGACAGAAGACAGGGGACATACATGACGACCAAATGTAAACAACTGGCAGTGCTTGAGACAGAAGACTGGGGACATACATGACGACCAACTGTAAACAGCTGGCAGTGCTTGAGACAGAAGACTGGGGACATACATGAAGACCAACTGTAAACAGCTGGCAGTGCTTGAGACAGAAGACTGGTGACATACATGACGACCAAATGTAAACAACTGGCAGTGCTTGAGACAGAAGACTGGGGACATACATGATGACCAACTGTAAACTGGCAGTGCTTGAGACAGAAGACTGGTGACACACATGACGACCAAATGTAAACAGCTGGCAGTGCGTGAGACAGAAGACTGGTGACATACATGACGACCAAATGTAAACAACTGGCAGTGCTTGAGACAGAAGACTGGGGACATACATGACGACCAACTGTAAACAACTGGCAGTGCTTGAGACAGAAGACTGGGGACATACATGATGAACAAATGTAAACAGCTGGCAGTGCTTGAGACAGAAGACTGGGGACATACATGATGAACAAATGTAAACAGCTGGCAGTGCTTGAGACAGAAGACTGGGGACATACATGATGAACAAATGTAAACAGCTGGCAGTGCTTGAGACAGAAGACTGGGGACATACATGATGAACAAATATAAACAGCTGGCAGTGCTTGAGACAGAAGACTGGGGACATACATGACGACCAACTGTAAACAACTGACAGTGCTTGAGACAGAAGACTGGGGACATACATGATGAACAAATGTAAACAACTGGCAGTGCTTGAGACAGAAGACTGGGGACATTCATGACTACCAAATGTAAACAGCATGGCTTATCAGTGATTAGCGAGGATTATCATCACAGCACCCAGACAGATCCAAAGCTGCTCCAATCTCCTCCTCAAAAACTCCACAAGAGATATGAGGTTATAATTAGGGTTATCTTCACAGCACATCTGACATGTCCATAGGTGCTCAGATTCCCCCTTCAGCATATACATCAGCATCCTGCGGTTGATAGTCCCAGTATCTATGTTGGTTGACAAGACTTCTCATGCATCCGGTCTGCTTCTCGTGCCTGACTGTGCTGATATTTCCTCCCAGTTCTTGCACTCTTAGCAAAGATGTGCGTGTGCTGCTCCCAAAATTCCTCAAATCGCCCTACATTTCTAATGACTTTAACAATATCTGCATGATCCATGGGCTGGCCTTCTGTAACTAAGGCAGAGTTAGCTAATCTATCAGCTCTGCCATTGCCAACAACATCCACATTCCAACGGACAAAGATGAAGAAAATTATGTGGAGTTTTGCAATGACTTGATCCACTGTCTGCGTACAAAGCCCGCCAGATCATGCTAATGGAATCACTCAGCAAACACACACACACACATGAGAATAGCCCTGCGATGCTAGCCACATGAAAGCTTGTGTTACCGCCATCACCTCTATGTTCATGCAGCTAGTAGTCATACAGAAGGCACCACTGGCAGAGCACACAGTAAATACCAATGCACTTTTACGTCCTCGTACAATGGACCCATCTGTGTAGATCAGTACATCCGCCACATCTGAATGTTCACATATAAGTGTGCGGACCTTTGCATTCACGGAAACTAGATTCGGCACTTGACAGCTCCTATCAAACGTGGCAATACAGGAAAAGGTGCAGTTGTAGCACTACAAGAGTAAAACGACAGATGATGCCTGATCTGTGTTAATGAATCAGACGTTCCCTTTGTGAAATACTTATTTCTTGCAGCTCCATGATGCACCCCTTGTTCATCAGCCTGGACAGAAATACGGAATCATGTCCAGCACAATATTCATTTTGGCAGTAAGTGCTGTGAAGGGCATCACTATTGTCTAGTGCCAGATCGGTTTGGCAGTAAGTGCTGTGCAGGGCATCACTATTGTCTAGTGCCAGGTCGGTTTGGTAGTCAGTGCTGTGCAGGGCATCACTATTGTCTAGTGCCAGATCGGTTTGACAGTAAGTGCTGTGCATGGCATCACTATTGTCTAGTGCCAGGTCGGCCATAGTAGCCGCAGTGTTGTCAGATAATGTTGTCGAACACCCACAGGAGCCAACACAAAGATAAATGTCATGAGTCCAGTTGACCACACACTGAGAGAGCTAGACGAACAACTAGACTATGATTTATAACAGCAGGCATGTCAGTTACTGGTCAGCCGGGTTGTGTGTAGACAAGACGGGTAGGGGTAACTAAGTGTTACCGATGAGAGGAGTTTACAAGTGAACTTGACAACGGGTGGACTAATACACGGGAGTTGCTAGTTTAACAGTCAAGTGGATATTCCGTTTGGTATTTCTGAAATGTGAGAATTGTTCTCACTTGGCATGGACTGGATCTATAGCTGTGGGGAGTACAGCAGTATTTGTTCATACTTGTGACAGATGTTTTTTCTGTGTCGCCAAAATTATATATTTAGTCGTGGTAGCCAGGATGATGTGTTAATTATTTGTCCAACGCATCCGCTAGTCTCTCATGTCTTTGTTCACACTGCTAGTATTCTTTGTGAATAACTATACCAGCGTACTGTTGATATACTTAGCCAGTGGCTACCCGGGATTAGTGTGTTTGTGAGCTATAAGAATAAAGGGGTGGCTACTCAGTAGTCTATAACTTTGTGTGGAAGCCAGACTAACTTTGCAATTATTCGAGGTTTCCATTAAACATTTTTTTGAGAAATGGAAACACGATAATCAGTGTTTACAAGTTAATGAAAGTGTGGGCAAACTAACACAAATAACAACGGTACCTCTGTCACACCTATAAAAAAAAGTGACTGAAAATGAAAGCTATGCTAGTCATTGCGAAATGCCCAGTGATATCCAGTTTTTGTCTGGTGAGCCCAGCCAGGAATTTGAGCATGGGCTGTAAGAAGAGGAGGTTGTCAGTGGCGCTTAATAAACCCAATTGGATTTGCAAAGAATTGAAAAGACCACCGCTTCGAAATAACACGCCATCTTCTAAAATCTGGACACGTGGTGACTAAATGCAACGCATTTCAAATCCTTCATACGTCAACCAATGGCAAAACGCTATGATGTCTCGAAGCTTCCGCGATTCGTGACCTGCGCCTGGAACTCTGTATTCAGAAAGAGATGGTTCAGTCTTGACGGCTGTCCTGGTAACAACAGGCAGTCATGTTTGATCGTTGTTGAAATTGTTCTTCAGTTATAAAGGATTCACTTATTTGCTTCATTTATGTAATTGTTGCTGTAGTATGCACCTGATGAGAAACAGCGAAATATGCAAGTCAATAAATTGTGCAATCTATTGTTTGTGTCTTCTTTGTTCAGATATAGAATAATAAGGAATTATAAAATTAGAAAAGCTCTACAAAAGCACAACATGCCCATAGTTGAGGCGGTCAGAAAAATAGTGAGAACCTTAGATCTTTATGGACACCTGACAGGGCAAAAGGGGAAATGAAAAAGTAGTAGTAGTAGCAGCAGCAGGAGTTTTAGGAGGAGGAGGAGGAGGAGGAAGACGACTCTTTACAAATATATAGCTAGCACCATTTGCTAAATAATTAGTCGCCTTTTACGACATGCTATTTAGGGGGCTTTGGGTATACCCCTTCCTCTACCGCCCCTTCTTGAATTAAACTGGACCACGTAACCACAGGGGGAGTAAAATGTAAAAAGATGAGCCCAATAGAGCTGTCACACGTCGAGCCGGGGGCCGGGCGTCAAACTGCTGGGACTGGAGCAGATCTCTCGCCCAGTGTTTACTGCAGCAGACGATCATGGCGGACATGTCCGGCTGGTTGTTTCTTTTCCTGGCCGTAGCCTCTTGTCCCCTCGCGCCGGCCAGGAAAGACAAGGGCAAGAACGACGATGTCGCTGAGAAGTGGAAGAAAAAGGACATAAGGGACTATAATGATGCAGATATGGAACGGCTGCTTGATCAGTGGGAGGTAGGCAGTTGAGAACCTCACCCTTATCCTGGTTGTGATGGTGCCTGTTGTAATGTATTCTTCATCATTTTTTCGAATGTGGGCGTTCCCTGGGACTCTTGTCTGTCCATCCATGTATTATGTATGATCGGCCTTTCTTTCGATGTGTTCCTTGAATAGAACAATAGGTCGTATGTCTTGTATATAAACAGTCGGCTATCTTCCGAAAACGGTCCCAAATTAAATTAATAATTATCGAGGCAGAAAATAAACCCTAACAACAGGGCCTCAGTCACGTGTCAGTTGCGAACTTCCGCAGCCACCGAGAGTATCTCCCACGGCCTTAGGCGCGGGGTGGATTGGGGCTAAACTACACATGGCTGGTACTCTTGAGCAAATAAACTAAAAGCAGCTGCAGGAGATGCAGTAGCTTTTGCTCGTGAGTCCCAGCCATCTAGTTTAGCCCCTCCACGCCGTGCGTTGAGTGGGAGCTAAACATAAAGGTCTCCTCACTGTTAGAACAGACTTTGTTACACCTCCTGACAGTGGTGTTGTGTGCAGTGTGTGATCTCATGTTTTGTGTACTCTAGGAATCAGACTGTTACACCTCCTGACAATGATATGATGTTGTGTGTAGTGAGATCTCATGTTTTGTCTACTCTAGGAATCAGACTGTGTTACACCTCCTGACAGTGATATGGTGTTGTGTGCAGTGTGTGATCTCATGTTTTGTGTGCTCTAGGAATCAGACTGTGTTACACCTCCTGACAGTGATGTGGTGGTGTGTGTAGTGTGATCTCATGTTTTGTCTACTCTAGGAATCAGACTGTGTTACACCTCCTGACAGTGATATGGTGTTGTGTGCAGTGTGTGATCTCATGTTTTGTCTACTCTAGGAATCAGACTGTGTTACACCTCCTGACAGTGATGTGGTGGTGTGTGCAGTGTGATCTCATGTTTTGTGTACTCTAGGAATCAGACTGTGTTACACCTCCTGACAGTGATATGGTGTTGTGTGCAGTGTGTGATCTCATGTTTTGTGTACTCTAGGAATCAAACTGTGTTACACCTCCTGACAGTGATATGGTGGTGTGTGTAGTGTGATCTCATGTTTTGTGTACTCTAGGAATCAGACTGTTACACCTCCTGACAGTGATATGGTGGTGTGTGTAGTGTGATCTCATGTTTTGTGTACTCTAGGAATCAAACTGTGTTACACCTCCTGACAGTGATATGGTGGTTTTTGCAGTGTTCTTCTTCTTCTTTCGTTCGCCTGAAATAAGTTGTCTATATCAGCAGTTTTGTCTCTTGTATAAATTTCACTGTCGTTGTTAGTTCATTCAGTGGTCCATAGAGTTTACGTTCCACTGTTGTTCTTTCTGGCCAAAAGGTTTGCCTTAATGTGTCAAAATCGGTGCAGTCCTAGAGTACATGCTCTGCTGTCTGGGGCACATTTCCACAGGTGCACATAGCTGATACACCTATCTTGAATTTTGTGTACATGTGGTTACGTAATCGGTTGTGCCCTGTTCTGAGGCGGAGGATAATGACTTGTTCTGGTCTGTCCATAATAAAATAGTCGTCTTGTGCTGGGGCTGGTGGTTTCCTGATCGATTTAAGGATTCTTTTATTTTGGTGGTATGTGACTGGTACATCCGGCTGCTCTTTTGTCGCACTTTCCCCTGCCAGTTGATCAGCTTTCTCATTTCCAGGCACTCCACAATGAGACGGTATCCACTGCATTTCGACTCTTCGCTGAACGCTGGGTTGTGTCAGCAGTGTTTGCAATTCTGGTAGTTTCCTAGACTGGAGTGCTTCAAGTACTGATTTAGCATCTGTCAGCATTACCACATACTGTGAGCTAAGGTTGGTATTTAGCAGTTTCTCTGTAGCTATCTTGATAGCCTGGGTTTCTGCATCGTAGTTATGGCAGTACTTCCCGGTTGGTACTTTTAAGTGGGCAACCAATTTCTGGAAGGTCAGGAGTTTGTCTACATATTCTTTTTGCTTGGTGTATAAAGCTGCTTCTTTTTAACCGTCCCAAGGCTAGGTTCTTAAATCTATTTTCCATCGGGTGATCTGGCATACTGAGGAACTTTTCAGCTTGTATTTGCAACTTTGTATCTCTGCGTTCTCTCAGTGCCTGTGTTTTCCCAGCTTTCTCCATTTCTAATATGGGGGTTGATTTCATCCCTCCTGTGATGACTCTGAGCGCTTGATTTTGCACTTTGTCTAACTCCTTTAATGTGGTACTAGATGCTGAACACCATGCAGATGACCCATATTCCAAGTGTGGAAGTATGCTCTGCTTGGGTACTTTATTTAGTATTTTCCTATCAGCTCCCCATGTAGTTCCACTTAGTTTTCTTAGTATTGCTGTCTTCCTCCTGGCTTTGGTTGCTGCCTTGTTGATATGTTTTCTCCATGTCAACCTGTCATCAAATGTGACTCCTAGGTATGTGGGCTCTTTATCATCTCTCAGGGGTATTCCGTTTATTTTGATGGTGCCGGCTTTTTGCTTTGGGGAGAGGGTGAATAGTGTGGTGCTACATTTGTCTGTGTTGATGCTGACACACCATCTATTGGCCCATGCCTCAAGTGCATTTGTAGCCCGCTGGTGTTTTTGTGGCTATCGTTGCATGTTCATTGGTGCACCACAAAACCAGGTCGTCGGCATACATTGCCATTTTGATTCCATTTGGTATCTCAGCAACCAGATCGTTGATGAATAAAAGGAAAAGTGTGGGCGACAGGACACCACCTTGAGGGACGCCTTGTCGCAGTAGACATCTTTTACTTTTAAAACCATCTACCTGTACCCGGGCTCATCTGTTATGTAGATATGCTTTAATCCAATTGTACATTCTTCCATTTATTTTATAGTTTCTCAATTTCTTCAAAAGCCCCTCCTTCCAAACCTTATCAAAAGCTTTCCTTAAATCTCTCCATGCCACGAGTACCAGTTTCTTATCTTGAAAAGCATCCTCTATTTCTTGGGAGAGGTATGTTGTCTGGTCTTCCGTAGAGTAGAACTTTCTAAAGCCCGCCTGCGGTGGTGTAATGATGTGTGATCTCATGTTTTTGTGTGTTTAGGAATCAGATTGTTACACCTCCTGACAATGATATATTGTGTGTAGTGTGACCTCATGTTTTGTGTACTCTAGGAATCAGACTGTGTTACACCTCCTGACAGTGATATGGTGGTGTGTGTAGTGTGATCTCATGTTTTGTCTACTCTAGGAATCAGACTGTGTTACACCTCCTGACAGTGATATGGCGGTGTGTGTAGTGTGATCTCATGTTTTGTCTACTCTAGGAATCAGACTGTGTTACACCTCCTGACAGTGATATGGTGGTGTGTGCAGTGTGATCTCATGTTTTGTGTGCTCTAGGAATCAGACAGTGTTACACCTCCTGACAGTGATATGGTGGTGTGTGTAGTGTGATCTCATGTTTTGTCTACTCTAGGAATCAGACTGTGTTACACCTCCTGACAGTGATATGGTGGTGTTTGCAGTGTGATCTCATGTTTTGTGTACTCTAGGAATCAGACTGTGTTACACCTCCTGACAGTGATGTGTTGTGTGCAGTGTGATCTCATGTTTTGTGTACTCTAGGAATCAGACTGTGTTACACCTCCTGACAGTGATATGGTGGTGTGTGCATTGTGATCTCATGTTTTGTCTACTCTAGGAATCAGACTGTGTTACACCTCCTGACAGTGATATGGTGGTGTGTGCAGTGTGATCTCATGTTTTGTGTACTCTAGGAATCAGACTGTGTTACACCTCCTGACAGTGATATGTTGTGTGCAGTGTGATCTCATGTTTTGTCTACTCTAGGAGTCAGACTGTGTTACACCTTCTAACAGTGATATGGTGGTGTGTGTAGTGTGATCTCATGTTTTGTCTACTCTAGGAATCAGACTGTGTTACACCTCCTGACAGTGATATGGTGGTGTGTGCAGTGTGATCTCATGTTTTGTGTACTCTAGGAATCAGACTGTGTTACACCTCCTGACAGTGATGTGTTGTGTGCAGTGTGATCTCATGTTTTGTGTACTCTAGGAATCAGACTGTGTTACACCTCCTGACAGTGATATGGTGGTGTGTGTAGTGTGATCTCATGTTTTGTCTACTCTAGGAATCAGACTGTGTTACACCTCCTGACAGTGATATGGTGGTGTGTGTAGTGTGATCTCATGTTTTGTCTACTCTAGGAATCAGACTGTGTTACACCTCCTGACAGTGATATGGTGGTGTGTGTAGTGTGATCTGAGATCTCATGTTTTGTGTACTCTAGGAATCAGACTGTGTTACACATCCTGACAGTGATATGGTGGAGTGTGTAGTGTGATCTCATGTTTTGTCTACTCTAGGAATCAGACTGTGTTACACCTCCTGACAGTGATATGGTGGTGTGTGTAGTGTGATCTTATGTTTTGTCTACTCTAGGAATCAGACTGTGTTACACCTCCTGACAGTGATATGGTGGTGTGTGCAGTGTGATCTCATGTTTTGTGTACTCTAGGAATCAGACTGTGTTACACCTCCTGACAGTGATATGGTGTTGTGTGTAGTGTGATCTCATGTTTTGTGTACTCTAGGAATCAGACTGTGTTACACCTCCTGACAGTGATGTGTTGTGTGCAGTGTGATCTCATGTTTTTGTGTACTCTAGGAATCAGACTGTGTTACACCTCCTGACAGTGATATGGTGGTGTGTGCATTGTGATCTCATGTTTTGTGTGCTCTAGGAATCAGACTGTGTTACACCTCCTGACAGTGATATGGTGGTGTGTGCAGTGTGATCTCATGTTTTGTCTGCTCTAGGAATCAGATGAGGACAAATTAGAAGAGGATGAGCTGCCAGAATGGAAAAGAGAGCCACCAAAGATTGACATGTCGCAGATTGACCCTACTGACCCAGAAGGTTTTCTCAAAATGTCCAAAAAGGGCAGGACCCTGATGATGTTTGCAACAGTTTCAGGTCTGTTTATGTTTGTTGGTTGTCCATGTTCGCACTGGGTTGTTGTCCATGCTTGCACTGGGTTGTTGTCCATATTTGTGTTTGGTGGTTGTCCATGTTCGCTCTGGGTTGTTGTCCATGCTTGCACTGGGTTGTTGTCCATGTTCGCTCTGGGTTGTTGTCCATATTTGTGTTTGGTGGTTATCTCACTGTTCATTGTTGTGTTCAGTAACATTACTAATAGGTAACGATGTCAACATAGGGCTCAGGCAGAGGCTTGTTTAAGTCTATTGTCTGTAACTTTTGTCTGGTTGCCATTACCATAGATTTAGTTTTAGTTATGTTAATTTTCAGGCGATTAGCATTACTCCATTTAACAAGCTTACCTAGTTCATTCTGTAATAAACGTCCTAACTCATCATAGTTCTTTTTTTATTTTTGTTGTTTGTGGTCTATCTTGCTGTATTCTCATGATTTATCTTGTGATCTATTTTTCTGTACCCTTGTGATCTATCTTGCCATAATCTTGTAATCTATCTTGCTGTAATGTTGTGATCTATCTTGTCATAATCTTGTGATCTGTCTTGCTGTAATCTTGTGGTCTATCTTGCTGTAATCTTGTAATCTATCTTGCTGTAATCTTGTGATCTATCTTGCTGTAATCTTTTGATCTATCTTGCTGTAATCTTGTAATCTATTTTGCTGTAATCTTGTGATCTATCTTGCTGTAATCTTGTAATCTATCATGCTGTAATATTGTGATCTATCTTGCTGTAATCTTGTAATCTATCTTGCCATAATCTTGTAATCTATCTTGCTGTAATCTTGTAATCTATCTTGCTGTAATCTTGTAATCTATCTTGCTGTAATCTTGTAATCTATCTTGCCATAATCTTGTGATCTATCTTGCTGTAATCTTGTAATCTATCTTGTCATAATCTTGTAATCTATCTTGTTGTAATCTTGTAATCTATCTTGCTGTAATCTTGTAATCTATCTTGCCATAATCTTGTGATCTATCTTGCTGTAATCTTTTGATCTATCTTGCTGTAATCTTGTAATCTATCTTGCTGTAATCTTGTAATCTATCTTGCCATAATCTTGTAATCTATCTTGCTGTAATCTTGTAATCTATCTTGCTGTAATCTTGTAATCTGTATTGCTGTAATCTTATGATCTGTCTTGCTGTAATCTTGTGATCTGTCTTGCTGTAATCTTGTGATCTGTATTGCCTTATACTCTTGTGATCTATTTTTCTGTACCCTTGTAATCGATCTTGCTGTAATGTTGTAATCTATCTTGCTGTAATCTTGTAATCTATCTTGCTGTAATCTTGTGATCTATCTTGCCATAATCTTGTAATCTATCTTGCTGTAATCTTGTAATCTATCTTGCTGTAATCTATCTTGCCATAATCTTGTAATCTATTTTGCTGTAATCTTGTAATCTATCTTGCTGTAATCTTGTAATCTATCTTGCTGTAATCTTGTAATCTATCTTGCTGTAATCTTGTAATCTATCTTGCTGTAATCTTGTAATCTATCTTGCTGTAATCTTGTGATCTGTATTGCTATAATCTTATGATCTATCTTGCTGTAATCTTGTGATCTGTCTTGCTGTAATCTTGTGATCTGTATTGCCATATACTCTTGTGATCTATTTTTCTGTACCCTTGTAATCTATCTTGCTGTAATGTTGTGATCTATCTTGTCATAATCTTGTGATCTATCTTGATGTCATCTTCTGATCTATATTCTTATAAGCATTAATTGTTGTAATTATACCATTGGTCTTGTTATAATGTTGTTATTATGTACTTGTGTAGGGAACCCCACAGAAGAAGAGACAGAGAAACTGTCCAGTCTCTGGCACAGCAGTTTGTTCAATGCTCATATTGAGACTCAGAGGTTGGTCAGTTGTCATTGAATGTCCAGTTTGTTCAACATTGAGACTCAGAAGTTGGTCAGTTGTCATTGAATGTCCAGTTTGTGCAGTGCTCACATCGAGACTCAGAGGTTGGTCAGTTGTCATTGAATGTCCAGTTTGTTCAACATTGAGACTCAGAGGTTGGTCAGTTGTCATTGAATGTCCAGTTTGTTCAACATTGAGACTCAGAGGTTGGTCAGTTGTCATTGAATGTCCAGTTTGTTCAACATTGAGACTCAGAGGTTGGTCAGTTGTCATTGAATGTCCAGTTTGTTCAACATTGAGACTCAGAGGTTGGTCAGTTGTCATTGAATGTCCAGTTTGTTCAACATTGAGACTCAGAGGTTGGTCAGTTGATACTAAACAGGTTCTGTCATCCACCCAGATAGGGTAGTTGTATTGTGGTTTTCATTCAACAGTTGAATTGTTAGAGATGGAGCACATATGGAAGTTTCCCAACTGCAGGGATGTCAGTTCTTGATTGATTTATTCAGTGATTCAGTTGTCACTGCACATGCAGTTTGTTGCAAAATGACTGAGAGGCACAGTGCAGTTGTACACTGTATCAGCCAATGTCCTGTTGAGTGTATCCATGGGAAGAAGCACAAGTTGCTGACCTGTTCTGTTTCATGTTGTACAGTTGACATAGTCAGCACTGAGAACTGACTAGGTTCATGTTCTTCAGTTTCATCAACATTGTTGTTGCTGACCTGTTCTGTTACATGTTGTACAGTTGACATAGTCAGCTCAGAGAACTGACTAGGTTCATGTTCTTCAGTTTCATCAACATTGTTGTTGCTGACCTGTTCTGTTTCATGTTGTACAGTTGACATAGTCAGCACTGAGAACTGACTAGGTTCATGTTTTTCAGTTTCATCAACATTGTTGTTGCTGATCTGTTCTGTTACATGTTGTACAGTTGACATGGTCAGCACAAAAAACTGACTAGGTTCATGTTCTTCAGTTTCATCAACATTGTTGTTGCTGGTAGGTTTTGTTCATTTTATTTAAAAAAATAATCAGCTCAGCAGACCTGCTGTAGATATCTTAGACAAGGGAGGGAACTAGACAGTGACCTGCCAGCAGTAAGGTTTGGAGGCTGCGAGAGACAAGGACAGGTGGTGCAAACATGGATCAAGTGTGATCAAATAGACTAGCTTATACTAAGAAGTATGACAGATCTACTATGTAGATTTGTTTATAGTGACTTCTGCACTGAACAACACAAATCCAGCATGCCGCCATTCACTGACCAACTATGTGGTACACCTGCATCTACTGATCATGTTCTCTGTAATCCAACTATGTGGTCACCCGCATCTACTGACCATGTCTTCCAGCACCCAGCTATGTCCTCTGTAACCCAGCTATGTCCTCTGTAACCCAGCTATGTCCTCTGTCACCCAGCTATGTCCGCTGTCACCCAGCTGTGTCCGCTGTCACCCAGCTGTGTCCGCTGTCACCCAGCTGTGTCCTCTGTCACCCAGCTATGTCCTCTGTCACCCAGCTATGTCCTCTGTCACCCAGCTATGTCCTCTGTCACCCAGCTATGTCCTCTGTCAACCAGCTATGTCCTCTGTCAACCAGCTATGTCCTCTGTCAACCAGCTATGTCCTCTGTCACCCAGCTATGTCCTCTGTCACCCAGCTATGTCCTCTGTCACCCAGCTGTGTCCTCTGTCACCCAGCTATGTCCTCTGTCACCCAACTGTGTCCTCTGTCACCCAGCTGTGTCCTCTGTCACCCAGCTGTGTCCTCTGTCACCCAGCTGTGTCCTCTGTCAACCAGCTATGTCCTCTGTCACCCAGCTATGTCCTCTGTCACCCAGCTATGTCCTCTGTCAACCAGCTATGTCCTCTGTCACCCAGCTATGTCCTCTGTCACCCAGCTATGTCCTCTGTCACCCAGCTATGTCCTCTGTCAACCAGCTATGTCCTCTGTCAACCAGCTATGTCCTCTGTCACCCAGCTATGTCCTCTGTCACCCAGCTGTGTCCTCTGTCACCCAGCTGTGTCCTCTGTCACCCAGCTGTGTCCTCTGTCACCCAGCTATGTCCTCTGTCACCCAGGTATGTCCTCTGTCACCCAGGTATGTCCTCTGTCACCCAGGTATGTATGTCCTCTGTCACCCAGGTATGTATGTCCTCTGTCACCCAGCTATGTCCTCTGTCACCCAGCTATGTCCTCTGTCACCCAGGTGTGTCCTCTGTCACCCAGGTGTGTCCTCTGTCACCCAGGTGTGTCCTCTGTCACCCAGGTGTGTATGTCCTCTGTCACCCAGGTATGTCCTCTGTCACCCAGGTATGTGGTGGGAGCCAACAGGGTACTGTTTATGCTGAAAGATGGGGCCAAGGCCTGGGAGATTCGAGACTTCCTTGTGAAGCAGGAGCGCTGTGAGGAAGTGTCCATTGAAGGACAGAGCTACCCTGGGGCAGGGGCAGATGTGAGTCTCTCTTGGTTTCTCCGTTTGTTGTTGACACACTGTATGAATGTTTCTGCTGTTGTTCAGGTGTATGTCTGTATTGTCTGTTTTGTGTCGTGTCTGTCTGTATTGTCTGTACTGTGTCTTGTGCGCTGTTTTTTAGGTTTCTGTCTGTAGCATCTATTCTGTGTCTTGTGTGCTGTTGTTCAGGTGTCTGTCTGTAGCGTCTGTTCCGTGTCATGTCTGTATTGTCTGTGCTGTGTCTTGTGTGCTGTTTTTCAGGTGTCTGTCTGTAGCATCTATTCTGTGTCTTGTGTGCTGTTGTTCAGGTGTCTGTCTATAGCGTCTGTTCTGTGTCTTTTGCACTGTTGTTCAGATGTCTGTCTGTAGCATCTGTTCTGTGTCTTGTTAGCTGTTGTTCAGGTGTCTGTCTGTAGCGTTTGTTCTGTGTCATGTCTGTATTGTCTGTGCTGTGTCTTGTGTGCTGTTGTTCAGGTGTCTGTCTATAGCGTCTGTTCTGTGTCTTTTGCACTGTTGTTCAGATGTCTGTCTGTAGCATCTGTTCTGTGTCTTGTTAGCTGTTGTTCAGGTGTCTGTCTGTAGCGTTTGTTCTGTGTCTTGTGTGCCTTTGCTGCCTCTGTCTGTTCTGCTGTCCAGTTTATGGTGAATTGTGCAGTGTTGTTGCTCTGTTGTTATTCTGGCTCAGTCTGTACTGATGACAACTCTTTATCTCCTCCGTTATGATGTAGATATGGATACACAGAGGTACAGTCAAACCACGATGATGACTTTAAGATAATTTTTATAGTCTATCAAGAGAGTCATTCCATCGTTGTCCTAAACTGTTTACAGCTTGTTTTCGACTGATGGCCATGACAGGATTACAACTAAATAAGGAGGCAATTACCTTCCAGTACAAATAGTTCATTCATGTTATGATTTCACATCTAAATGACAGCACCACACAGTTCACAGTCACTGGGGATCACAATTCACAGTCACTGGGGATCACAATTCAGAATCAGGTCTCATCGGACATTTCCTGGTGTTCCAAGTCCTCGTTCCCTCAGCTCACAATCACTGTTCACTTCAGTCACTCCATACAAAACCTCTTGCCTCTCACAGGGTCAAACAACTGCCACTATCTCATTCGTCCTTCAGAAGTCTTGTTCCCTTCCCACAGGATTTGGTCCTGTGATTGTTCAGTGTCCCACATGAATCTCACTTCCCTGGCTTTACCGCGTTTCTCCCTGGCCTGTAACACTGCTACATCATCTGAGCAAACTCTTCCAACCTCCCTGGCCTGTAACACTGCTACATCATCTGAGGAAACTCTTCAAACCTCCCTGGCCTGTAACACTGCTACATCATCTGAGCAAACTCTTCCAACCTCCCTGGCCTGTAATACTGCTACATCATCTGAGCAAACCCTTCCAACCTCCCTGGTCTGTAATACTGCTACATCATCTGAGCAAACTCTTCCAACCTCCCTGGCCTGTAATACTGCTACATCATCTGAGCAAACTCTTCCAACCTCCCTGGCCTGTAACACTGCTACATCATCTAAGGAAACTCTCCATACCTCCCTGGCCTGTAACACTGTTACATCATCTGAGCAAACCCTTCCAACCTCCCTGGCCTGTAATACTGCTACATCATCTGAGCAAACCCTTCCAACCTCCCTGGCCTGTAATACTGCTACATCATCTGAGCAAACTCTTCCAACCTCCCTGGCCTGTAACACTGCTACATCATCTGAGCAAACTCTCCATACCTCCCTGGCCTGTAACACTGTTACATCATCTCAGGAAACCCTTCCAACCTCCCTGGCCTGTAACACTGCTACATCATCTGAGGAAACTCTTCCAACCTCCCTGGCCTGTAACACTGCTACATCATCTGAGGAAACCCTTCCAACCTCCCTGGCCTGTAACACTGTTACATCATCTCAGGAAACTCTCTAAACCTCCCTGGCCTGTAACACTGCTACATCATCTGAGGAAACTCTTCCAACCTCCCTGGCCTGTAACACTGCTACATCATCTGAGGAAACTCTTCCAACCTCCCTGGCCTGTAACACTGCTACATCATCTGAGGAAACTCTTCCAACCTCCCTGGCCTGTAACACTGTTACATCATCTCAGGAAACCCTTCCAACCTCCCTGGCCTGTAACACTGCTACATCATCTCAGGAAACTCTCTAAACCTCCCTGGCCTGTAACACTGTTACATCATCTCATGAAACCCTTCAGACCTCCCTGGCCTGTAACACTGCTGCATCATCTGAGGAAACTCTTCAAACCTCCCTGGCCTGTAACACTGCTACATCATCTGAGGAAACCCTTCCAACCTCCCTGGCCTGTAACACTGCTACATCATCTGAGGAAACCCTTCCAACCTCCCTGGCCTGTAACACTGTTACATCATCTGAGGAAACTCTTCCAACCTCCCTGGCCTGTAACACTGCTACATCATCTGAGGAAACTCTTCCAACCTCACTGGCCTGTAACACTGCTACATCATCTGAGCAAACCCTTCCAACCTCCCTGGCCTGTAATACTGCTACATCATCTCAGGAAACTCTTCCAACCTCACTGGCCTGTAACACTGTTACATCATCTCAGGAAACCCTTCCAACCTCCCTGGCCTGTAACACTGCTACATCATCTGAGGAAACCCTTCCAACCTCCCTGGCCTGTAACACTGTTACATCATCTCAGGAAACTCTCTAAACCTCCCTGGCCTGTAACACTGTTACATCATCTCAGGAAACCCTTCCAACCTCCCTGGCCTGTAACACTGCTACATCATCTGAGGAAACTCTTCCAACCTCACTGGGAATTCCTCTCATTACAAATATCAAATATTCTATCCACTGTGTTTCACAGTCAGTCACTAAGAGAGGGTGGTTGGGTGGGGTGGAGAGGGGGAGGGCTGGCGGAAGAGGCAGCAGAGGTGTGGATTACATTCAGGAGGAACCAAAGATAGCATTCATAGACTGGTTCAGATAATGGTGTTCATATATTAGCCACACAATTATAGTCATAGACTGGTTCACATAATTATTTTCATATATTAGCCAAAACAGTTATAGTCATAGACTGGTTCAGATAATTATTTTCATATATTAGCTAAACAATTATAGTCATAGACTGGTTCAGATAATTATTTTCATATATAAGCTAAACAATTATAGTCATAGACTGGTTCACATAATAATTTTCATATATTAGCTAAACAATTATAGTCATAGACTGGTTCACATAATAATTTTCATATATTAGCTAAACAATTATAGTCATAGACTGGTTCAGATAATAATTTTCATATATTAGCCAAACAATTATAGTCATAGACTGGTTCCGATAATAATTTTCATATATTAGGTAAACAATTATAGTCATAGACTGGTTCACATAATAATTTTCATATATAAGCTAAACAATTATAGTCATAGACTGGTTCAGATAATAATTCTCATATATAAGCTAAACAATTATAGTCATAGACTGGTTCAGATAATTATTCTCATATATAAGCTAAACAATGATAGTCATAGACCCCCTCTGTGAGCGAGTGAACAGTGTGGAAGTGCCAGTAGATCATTACGGTCTGAGGAGAATGGAGCTGAGAGGAGTTAGTTGCCAGGGGATCTTGTCGATGCTCAGCACTCAAGGAAAAGGTGAGGCCAGCATACAATCAGACAGTTACTGGTGCCATCAGAATTTGCTGCTGAAGATGGGGACGGAGCACTTATGTTAGTGTCCTGAATGCTATGATGTTGATTCCTAATTCAACATTTTTAAAGCCATTGACTTGTTCAGATAATGGTGTTCATATATTAGCCAAACAGTTGAGTCAAGAATTGTCATCACAGCACTCGGGACATTCCCATGCATGCTCTGTCCTCATCCTCAGCAGTAAGCGCAGAGTTCCAGTACTGATGGTACCGGTCACAATCTGGTTTTATGTCCGTCTTGCCTTTCCTCTGAGTGTAGTGAGCAGGCCAGACTCTCTCCCAGGTGCCTCATTCTCTCCAGGCCATAATAATAATCTTTCTCTGCTGATTCCGTTTCTTGTTCCCAAATGGCTTTGACCACATCTGCCTTGTCATGTATCAGTTCACCACCCAGTGGTGCCAGACAATAATTGTCACAGACTTGTTCAGATATGCATATCAATCTATTAGCCAAACAGTAATTGTCATCGACTAGCTCTCATAATGGTGTTCATATATTAGCCAAACAATAATTGTCGTAGACTAAACAGAGACAGACAGCAGATTTTGCTAGTTGGAGAGATTCCAGATTTTTTGTTGGGGGGGGGGGGGTGTCTTGATTTTTTGTTATCACCCATAAATGTTTTTCTGTGGATGTTGCAGGTAAAGACATGAATGTTTTTCTGTGGATGTTGCAGGGAAAGAAAAGTGGAGAAGAGAAGAAGCCATCAAAAAAAGGCAAGAGCAAGAAGGTAGAATTGTAAGGAGACTCAAGCTAGGACTGAGACGTGCTGGCAACCCCCTACTGGAGACTCAGACAGAGTCTGTCTACAGTTGTTATCATTGGCAGCATTATGTGTGGTGGTGTGGTAGAGTTAATGTCTGCAGTATGAGAACAGCAAGTGTGTGTGTGTGGAAGGATGGTTGTGTGGTGATGGTTCTAGTCTTGTCACGTCACTTCTGTAGTGCTGGCTCATGTTTAAGGGACGCACCAACTTTCATGTTTGTGTTTAATTTGTACTGAACAGTTTTATGTGATCGTTTCTTCTGTATGTGAATGTTGGACATGTTGGATCTATAGCTTTGTTGTGTCCACTGACTGAGTCTTGAACATGGTTTTTTTTTTTTTGTATCTTTGTCGTATCTGCTGACTGACCAGTTGTGTGCGATTAGTTCTTCTGTGTGTGTGTCTATAAGGACAGCTGGACAACATTTAGGACTTAAAGGCATTCTAGTAAGTTTAAAAACTACGGTGGTTATACTTACAGGAGACTCTGCCTGTGTTGGGTATTTCATTTAGTGCTTCATGATTTATCTGTGTAACATCTGTAATAGCATCTGGCCAGATATGGTGACATGTGCCAGGAAGTCAGTTATGCTGGCTCAACATCTGGCCAGATATGGTGACATGTGTCAGGGAGTGAGTTGTTCTGTCTCAACATCTGGCCAGATAGGGTGCCAGGTGACATATGCCAGGAAGTCAGTTATGCTGTCTCAACATCTGGCCAGATATGGTGACATGTGTCAGGGAGTGAGTTGTTCTGTCTCAACATCTGGCCAGATATGGTGACATGTGCCAGGAAGTCAGTTATGCTGGCTCAGCATCTGGCCAGATATGGTGACATGTGTCAGGGAGTGAGTTGTTCTGTCTCAACATCTGGCCAGATATGGTGACATGTGCCAGGAAGTGAGTTATACTGGCTCAACATCTGGCCAGATATGGTGACATGTGCCAGGAAGTGAGTTATGCTGTCTCAATATCTGGCAAGATATGGTGACATGTGCCAGGAAGTGAGTTATGCTGTCTCAACATCTGGCCAGATATGGTGACATGTGTCAGGAAGTGAGTTATGCTGTCTCAACATCTGGCCAGATATGGTGACATGTGTCAGGAAGTGAGTTATGCTGTCTCAACATCTGGCCAGATATGGTGACATGTGCCAGGAAATCAGTTATGCTGTCTCAACATCTGGCCAGATATGGTGACATGTGCCAGGAAGTCAGTTATGCTGGCTCAACATCTGGCCAGATATGGTGACATGTGTCAGGGAGTGAGTTGTTCTGTCTCAACATCTGGCCAGATAGGGTGCCAGGTGACATATGCCAGGAAGTCAGTTATGCTGTCTCAACATCTGGCCAGATATGGTGACATGTGTCAGGGAGTGAGTTGTTCTGTCTCAACATCTGGCCAGATATGGTGACATGTGCCAGCAAGTCAGTTATGCTGGCTCAGCATCTGGCCAGATATGGTGACATGTGTCAGGGAGTGAGTTGTTCTGTCTCAACATCTGGCCAGATATGGTGACATGTGCCAGGAAGTGAGTTATACTGGCTCAACATCTGGCCAGATATGGTGACATGTGCCAGGAAGTGAGTTATGCTGTCTCAGTATCTGGCAAGATATGGTGACATGTGCCAGGAAGTGAGTTATGCTGTCTCAACATCTGGCCAGATATGGTGACATGTGTCAGGAAGTGAGTTATGCTGTCTCAACATCTGGCCAGATATGGTGACATGTGTCAGGAAGTGAGTTATGCTGTCTCAACATCTGGCCAGATATGGTGACATGTGCCAGGAAATCAGTTATGCTGTCTAAACATCTGGCCAGATATGGTGACATGTGCCAGGAAGTCAGTTATGCTGTCTCAACATCTGGCCAGATATGGTGACATGTGCCAGGAAGTCAGGTATGCTGTCTCAACATCTGGCCAGATATGGTGACATGTGCCAGGAAGTCAGTTATGCAGTCTCAACATCTGGCCAGATATGGTGACATGTGCCAGGAAGTCAGTTATGCTGTCTCAACATCTGGCCAGATATGGTGACATGTGCCAGGCAGTCAGTTATGCTGTCTCAACATCTGGTCAGATATGGTGACATGTGCCAGGAAGTCAGTTATGCAGTCTCAACATCTGGCCAGATATGGTGACATGTGCCAGGAAGTCAGTTATGCTGTCTCAACATCTGGCCAGATATGGTGACATGTGCCAGGAAGTCAGTTATGCTGTCTAAACATCTGGCCAGATATGGTGACATGTGCCAGGAAGTCAGTTATGCTGTCTCAACATCTGGCCAGATATGGTGACATGTGCCAGGAAGTCAGTTATGCTGGCTCAACATCTGGCCAGATATGGTGACATGTGCCAGGAAGTGAGTTATGCTGTCTCAACATCTGGCCAGATATGGTGACATGTGCCAGGAAGTGAGTTATGCTGCCTAAACATCTGGCCAGATATGGTGACATGTGCCAGGAAGTCAGTTATGCTGGGTACAGTGGAAAATTTCAAGTTTCATACAGCCAGCGAATGTCATGTGCTGTGTCAGTGTTTGCTACAACTGATCAATGTCTGGACACAGTGAATCCCATGTGTTTTATCTCACAGTGTTGACATTGTTTTCTGCTACAACTGATCAATGTCTGGACACAGTGAATCTCATGTTTTATCTCACAGTGTTGACATTGTTTTCTGCTACAACTAATCAATGTCTGGACACAGTGAATCTCATGTGTTTTATCTCACAGTGTTGACATTGTTTTCTGCTACAACTGATCAATGTCTGGACACATTGAATCTCATGTTTTATCTCACAGTGTTGACATTGTTTTCTGCTACAACTGATCAATGTCTGGACACAGTGAATCTCATGTGTTTTATCTCACAGTGTTGACATTGTTTTCTGCTACAACTGATCAATGTCTGGACACAGTGAATCTCATATGTTTTATCTCACAGTGTTGACATTGTTTTCTGCTACAACTGATCAATGTCTGGACACAGTGAATCTCATGTTTTATCTCACAGTGTTGACATTGTTTTCTGCTACAACTGTCATTGTCTGGACACAGTGAATCTCATGTTTTATCTCACAGTGTTGACATTGTTTTCTGCTACAACTGATCAATGTCTGGACACAGTGAATCTCATGTTTTATCTCACAGTGTTGACATTGTTTTCTGCTACAACTGATCAATGTCTGGACACAGTGAATCTCATGTTTTATCTCACAGTGTTGACATTGTTTTCTGCTACAAGTGATCAATGTCTGGACACAGTGAATCTCATGTGTTATCTCACAGTGTTGACATTGTTTTCTGCTACAACTGATCAATGTCTGGACACAGTGAATCTCATATGTTTTATCTCACAGTGTTGACATTGTTTTCTGCTACAAGTGATCAATGTCTGGACACAGTGAATCTCATGTGTTATCTCACAGTGTTGACATTGTTTTCTGCTACAACTGATCAATGTCTGGACACAGTGAATCTCATATGTTTTATCTCACAGTGTTGACATTGTTTTCTGCTACAAGTGATCAATGTCTGGACACAGTGAATCTCATGTGTTATCTCACAGTGTTGACATTGTTTTCTGCTACAACTGATCAATGTCTGGACACAGTGAATCTCATGTTTTATCTCACAGTGTTGACATTGTTTTCTGCTACAACTGATCAATGTCTGGACACAGTGAATCCCATGTGTTTTATCTCACAGTGTTGACATTGTTTTCTGCTACAACTGATCAATGTCTGGACACAGTGAATCTCATGTGTTTTATCTCACAGTGTTGACATTGTTTTCTGCTACAACTGATCAATGTCTGGACACAGTGAATCCCATGTGTTTTATCTCACAGTGTTGACATTGTTTTCTGCTACAACTGATCAATGTCTGGACACAGTGAATCTCATGTTTTATCTCACAGTGTTGACATTGTTTTCTGCTACAACTGATCAATGTCTGGACACAGTGAATCTCATGTTTTATCTCACAGTGTTGACATTGTTTTCTGCTACAACTGATCAATGTCTGGACACAGTGAATCTCATATGTTTTATCTCACAGTGTTGACATTGTTTTCTGTAATTGTGACATTTTCTATATGCATGTATATTTTACAAACATTTTAAACATGATGATGTGTTTGATACATGACTCCAGAAATACCAGTTCTGTTTCAGAGTTGTTCCTGCACATACATATATGTTCGTTGTTACAGACTGGCTTCTCCTTAACACAGCAGCCCAGTTCCTGGCAGAGTGAAGACAGACATTTCTACAGTTCCTGGCAGAGTAAAGACAGACATTTATACAGTTCCTGGCAGAGTGAAGACAGACATTTATACAGTTCCTTGCAGAGTTAAGACAGACATTTATACAGTTCCTTGCAGAGTGAAGACAGATATTTATACAGTTCCTTGCAGAATGAAGACAGACATTTATACAGTCAGCTCGTGTGTTCAGGATTTAGTTTCTGTCTTTCTCTGGAATTAGACAGACTTCTGACACCACGATGGCTTCTGGCAGATTGTAGCTTGTCATTATTGCGACCGACCAGTGGACTCTGGATCCAGTTTCTGCATCTCTCTAGGATCAGACTGGTTTCTCCTGAACGCCCTCACACATCAACACACAGTCACTGTCAGGGAAAGACTGGCATTGATACAACCAGCCAGTGTCTTTCTCTTGAACTGGACAGCTTGAGATATCAACCCACACATACTCTTGCAGACTGGGAACTATCATTGTCACAGCTATCCAGGGCTGGGAGGGAGGGGGGGTGGAGCTGCATCTTCATGCCTACACACGCTTCTATGTTGGCAGTGCAGATGTCTGCTTGCGTATTTGTATACCTGTCTGTGTGTGTGTTTCCGTATGTGTCTGTCCTTGTCGCTGTGTGTGTGTGGCCGCCTGTGTGATTTTGCGTGTGTGTGTGTATGAGTTTCTGTGAGTGAATGTCGTCTGTGTATGTATGTCTCTA